TTTGTTAAGGCATTAATATGGAACAATTAGAAATTTTTGTTTAAATTTTTAGTTTATTTGTATGCAAATACAAGACAAAATACTGAAACAGTAAAAAACTTTTATTTTCAATATTTTATGCATTAAGAGATAAATTGAAGTACGGCATTGACAATTGTCAGAATAAAATATTGTCAATACTCAGAACCTCTTGCAGGTGACCTAAGGTTAAGATATTGGGGTCGTACTTAATTTTAAATTTGTAAATTAAGCAAACATATATCTGGCTGCACATATTGATCAATATTATTTGATTCTTCCTCAAGGTAAATATAATTATTGAGCATTTATTTTACAATTTTTACCTATTATCAATAAATATATTGATAATACGCAGGAACTTCTAACATTTTTGGATTCACAATCATATTCGAACATTTCCCACATGTCTGGAAAATGTGTAAAAATTTTGGATAATTGAGGAAAAATTAAATTAATAAGAGAAATGTATTCACAGTTTTTGCTAAACAATTGTCAATGACTTCAATGTTTCTTTCTTGGTAATTTGATATAATTTTGACACTTCTCTTCGAGCTCATCTCCTCCATCTAAAAAGAAAATTTGATATTAACATTAATATTTAATGTTGGGCGTTTTCGTCAAACACTGGCAAGCTACTGCCAGTGAAAAATAGCCCAATCAGCATGAATATTTCTTTAGAATATTTATGCTGATTGGGCTATTTATTACTGGCAGTAGCTTGCCAGTGTTTGCCGAAAACCCCCATTAATCTCATTATTTAATAAAGAGAAAATTAACAATTAATAATTCTCCACGTGTATTCTAACCTCAAAATGTCACTTACCTTAACGGTTCAAACGAAAGAAATTTGTTTCGAATTTTCAAGTACGATTCACGAAACACTAAGGCAGGTAGGCATGCATGCCTATATGCGCGCCTGCTTTTATGCGAAAAACTTCTTTACCACCAGTCCCTGTCTGATTGCCACGAGGTGGCGGGTAGGCGCTTCCGTACGAGACCGATTGGATTTGATAGCAGGCAGTCACGGTTGAGCTTAGGAAAAGTTCGACTGGGATTTGTGAATATGATATACTTCATGAGTAGAAATTTGTTAGCAGTCACGGTTGAGCTCACGATAAGTTCAACTGAGCCTTGCGGATATGCGATAATTCGTGAATAGGTACTAAGCTGGCAGTCACAGTTGAGCTGACGGTAAGTTCGACTTACATATATGCGATAATTAGTGAGTAAATATTCAGCCATGTTACTTATTGAGACACGTGATGATACAAAACAATATTTTTGGCAAAAAAATATAACACAAATTTCACATTGAGTGAAAGTATCAAAAATAAATGTTATACAAAGTAGATGTTTAAATGTGTTTCTTTATTTATTTATATAAAAAAGAGTTGGTGTACGGAACCCTTGAAGTAGAGCGAGTGTAAGTCGCACTTGTCCGATTTTTTATTTTTAGTTTGTTTGCTCCTGTAATTAATCTTCGATGTTGATTTATTCAGTTCGTTTTATTTTTGTTAGCAGCCTATTCTACGTCTCTAGATGGGGTTTTCGAGAGAATCTCTCTGTCTGGGTATTTGGAATGCTCGGAGCATTGTTAATAAGAAGGTGGAAGTTGAGGCACAATTGTATCGCCATCATATAGACATCATGTCCATTTCTGAAACATGGCTGACCAATGCAATCCCAGCGTGCGAACTCTTTGGTTTTAATTTGTAATGATCTGACTTTTATTGCCAAAGGATTTGCTCGCCGGATGGAGTTCGGGTACCTATTTTGACTAGTTACTTTAAATCTCGGTAGATGGCGTGAAGCGCCATCTATGTTTCGATTAATTTCGGAACTATTTCTTACTATGATGTAGAGGAGAGGCGTAGTCAGTGACGAGTCTTTATTTAAACCTTCGAAAGAAAATATATTGTTTAAATAAAAGAATAATAAAATATACAAAAATGAATTATTACATAAAATAATATAAGAACGAAAGAATCTATACAATGCAAATAAAATACTAATCTTTAGAAAATATAACGATGAAAGAACTAGCTATTCTAGAGGAGCATTCGCTGAGCTCCAATCGCGCTCGTCATTAATCCAGAATAAAACTGATTACATATTTACCACGTTCGCGAAGATGTTGATTAGGACGACGCATATTACTTTCACGTGGGCTACTTTCTAGAATTTACCCCTTAGACGACGGTACGTACGGATACTAGGGTCGTGCACGCTAGGTCGATTATTATTCGTAATCGGGAAGAAGCTAGATATTGGATTCGGTTCCAATATTCATGCCCGACGCAAAGCTAGTGCAAAGTAATATTCACTAGGTGTCTCCTTCACCCGAGAAGCGCCTCGAGATGGGGAATCGACCTAGTGCATCATCTTTGTCAAGAGAGGAGCGACTCTACTCGACAAGGACGGTCCTGATGGTAGTGAGTGGGTAACCTGGTTCACCAGTCTTCCACGGAAGCGCCCATAGAAAGTCCGCTTCACCAGGAGGAAGGAAGGCGAAGGGTGTAACTGTTCCGCAGGAGCGCCTACAGGAACAAGTACAGCTCCTTCTAGGAAGTAAGGAAGGCTCCGGTGTTCAGAGAGACGCACCTCTACTGAGCACCAGGTAGCCAGGAGTGAGTCGTTTCCAATCGTCAGAGATGCACCTCTGGACGAGTCGGAAGAAGGCTGACGAAAAGGTACGAGACGAAAGGTATATCACTAGGAGCTAGGTGACAGCGAGTGGTGGGGGAAGTGAGTGACACTACTACTTACGCTGTCTACTTTCTCTCTTTTCGCCGCGCCACTATACGATACTCTATCGTTACAAATTAGTACAGAATGGAAAAAACGTCCAAAGTCCTTGGAGGCGGTGAAGGACATCATTACTAAGCCAATACAATTTAATGGTGACACCTCTGGTTTTTTTTGAAACAGTAGGAGTAATTGTTGAGACGCATGAAGTTAATTGAGTGATTATATCAATCTCTCACCTTCTCTCTATGCAAACTTTTCGAAAGTCTAGTTCATCGAAGACTTGAGTTTATGGCTGAGTCAGAGGATTGGATCCCTACGTTTTAATTTGATTTCCGTAAGGGTTGTTCGGCTCAGGATTGTGTGACGACTGTGACTACCGACATTTCACAGGGTTTCTTCCGGGAAATAGCACTCTGAGCCTGGCTATCGACATTAAGTGCGTTTTTAATAACGTTTTAGATATCTTCTTCGATCAATGATGCTCTGGAGGTACTGTGGATCACGGTGATTATTCTGATAAAACCATAGAATAGTTGACTGTACTTAACCTATCGATCTAGGTACCAAAATGTTGGCCTTCTCTTCAAGAACGAAACTTGATAATAGGAACATTATTCCTTGGACAGGAAGAATTATGGCTTTGACATTTTAAATACGAGGCAGCCAAGGCCATAGGAGCAGTAAATGTTCTGAAGGCCTTTGCTAAGGTCTCCTTGAGTGCTCATCCCTTTTCGGACCTACAAAGGTTTGTTTATGGCGCACCTTATGTAAGGTGCTCAATTCTTCATGAATTCTTGCAAAACTAATTTACAAATTTTTGATAGGGTAAAAAATGCTGCTTGAAGGGTGGTTTTTGGCTGAATGAGATCGACTTCGAGAAGTATCCTTCCAGCAGAGTGTGACGAACCCACTTTGAATCTTTGCAGATCGAAATTAGAGGATAGGTTCCTGTTGAGAGGCTGTTCTTGGAGAGGCAACCCGGTTATTCCCAGATTGCAATTGTTATACAAAAATTCGAAGAGAAGACGAGGAAGGAAGTTTAATTTCCACAATCTACCTCTGATTTTTTTCGTCGCATCAAGGAGACACTTGGTATCATCTCTGATTTCGAAGGGCTGATGCATTTTTGTGGATTCCGGGCCATAGTAGGATTCAGAGGAATGAAGAGGCAGACAGGATCGCAAAGTCTCCCTATCAATGAAAGTGGGTCAGTTTTCGGGGATACCGATATGGGACTGTAGGGATCTACTGGATTGCGACTTAAGCTCTTGGTAAGCGACATTCTGCCTCACGATAGAAAGGCTAATTCTGGGACCAAATACTTCGGTAAAATTAATTTAAAGAGTAACCGACCTTGGTTCCTGGGAATTGAAGACCCCCGAAGGTCTATTAATATTGTTACCAGATTGAGATCCTCTCACATCTGCACAGGAGATCATTTCTGTCGTATAAGGTGGGCTATTAATCCGGATTGTCCATATGTGGGTATGAACAGAAAAGTTTAAAACATCTCTTCTTCGAATGTCGCATTCTATCTCCGGGCAGAGACCTGCATTTTTCAGCTAACATTGGAAATCGGGAAATTTTTCCAGAAAGGAAATATCATTTAAATATATATTGTTAGATGCTAAAGTAGGTTTTAAGTTCATGTAAATAGGTAGAATTATAATACAGTAGAATTATTCAAGTGAAATTATATAGAACATTCTATGGCGTTTTTAAAGAATCATTCTATTCATATTTTATAAAACTTTTTTGAAACGGTACTTATATGTTCCTTTATGTGTAAAAAAAAGTTATGTAACAAGAATATATAATATCATTAAAAAACGCATTGGAAAAAACACTCGGATGGACCAAATTCCTCCACTTAATTCGTAACTTAACTTTCGTTCTCTTTATTATTTGTTTGCTTTATATTGAAAGTATTACTTAGTTTTTAGATCAAGTAGGAGGATAAGAGGGTGTAAATTATGTAGCCATTAAAGAATATCTTAAAAATCTGGATAAACGAATCTAAAAAAATAAAACAATTTGTGTATAATTTAACATTATTTAAATTAATATTCACATTTTAACATTACTATTTTGTATAATTTATTTGCATATAATTCAAATATGAAGTACGTAACTTCATTGTTTGGAAAATTAATAATAAAAAATGTTAATCACAATATTGAAATAGATAAATGGAATAAATGAATTTTTTAACATCAAAACAAAATGTTAAGTATTTTTCGTAAATAAAAACTTTAATTTTCAATTTTGACATGGTTTCTTGGTAATACATTATTACCATGTCTATATATACTTTCTCATTGCAAAATTCTTTCTTCTTCATCTAGAATACAAATGCACATTTTTATTATCGCAGATGAGAAGTATTCATATATATCAAAATGACAATCTGACAAGTTAAATCAAATCCTTCATATTTTTCACTGCTACTCTTTTCTGATGAATGTCCGTCCACTGAAACAAAAATGTCAAATACAACAGTGTAGTAAATATTTAATGAAAAACTATTGATATGATATATGATGGTTAATTGACAAACTAATGAGTTTTGCTCGAAAACATATAAACCGATTTCAATGAACAAAATATGTATTACGTAGAGTTGTGAGAGGATTTATGTAAAAAAATTTTCAAAAATTTTTGCTCTGAAAATACCTCAAAAAAAAACTTACGTAATAGTCTTCTTTTCTGTAGTTTTTGGTTGTGATCTTGCACGATTTAATACTTTTAAAAAGTCAGTAGTTTTAGTTCGCATTCTTGAATGAATGTAAACTTTACTACATTTTATATGATAATGTAGATAATGCCTGAACATGTGAATTAAATCTATTGTGTTGTTACGAGCTTCTCTGCTTGTATGTCTAGGAAACAAAACTGAAACAAAATAATTATATATTTATAAACTTAATCAATAATTACCTGAAATTCGTATATTTATATTTCTTAAATAATTTAATAAAACTTATACGTCCGAGTAGTATGTAGAATTAAAAGGAGAAATAAAACAAAGACATTCGGAAAAATATGAATAAATAATTTTATATCTGTCAATGAAAAGGAACCTACTGATCCGATGTTACTACGGGATTGACATAAAAATATTATTTTGTTTTTCCCTAACTTTTCCCTGATTTCCAGTCAAAATTAAAATTTTTTTCCTCACCCTAATGAAAATATTTCAAGAGGTTTTCAATAACAGGCCTCGGATTGCACGACTTTTTTTAAATTGGATTATTAAGAAAAAATAATTCGAAAATTTTGAAAATTACATGATTTAAAACAGTTTTTAATTGAAAATTAACTAAAATTCAATTATTGTCTAAAGTTTTTAAAAAAATTTCACCAATTCAAAATGCAAGTTTTAATTAATAATCACCTGAAATTCAAATATTATTTCTCAAAATTTTAACTCGAACTCTTCTAAAATACATGTAGTTTTAAATTTTCTATCTAAAATTGTATGTAATTGTTGAATAATTTTATTTTAATAATTTTAATCAAGATTTTTGAAAATTCAATTATGTAAAACATTTTCCAATTTAAAATTCTCTAAAATTTAATTTTTTGTTTAAAGCTTATAAAATATCTACAGAAATTCCAATTTACGAAACTTTTAATTAAAAATCTCCTGAAATTCAATTTGTTTAACAAATTTTAATTATTGCTCTTCAAAATTCAATTAATTCTAAATTTTTAACTTCAATTTCATTTTAAATTAATTACTTCTAATGATTTTAATCAAGTTTTTCAAAAATTCAATTACATAAAACGTTTTTTAATTGTTAATTCTTTAAACTTAAATGTTAGTTAACATATACATAATAAATTTTAAAAAATTGCAATAATTCAAGTTTATTAAAATTTCAATTGAAAATTTCAAAAATTGAAAATTCAATTTTTTAAAACATTTTTCAATTAAAAATTCTTTATAATTCAATTATTTTTAAAAAATTTATTTAAAATTTTAACTCGAACTATTCCAATTTCAATTAGTAATTGAATAATTAATTGAATGATAATACGATTGAAATTTTTTTCCCTAAATTTATATCAATTTAATTCTTTGCTTAATTAATTATTTCAACTGTTTTAATCCAATTTTTCAAAAATACAATTATTTAAATCGTTTTTCAATTAATGTTTATATTTAAAACAAAATTGTAATTTTTGAAATCTCAAAAATGCAATTATTTTTAAAAATCTTAACTGTAACTCATCAAAATTCAATTATTTAGAACATATTTTAGTTAAAAATTCTCAAAAATAAATTTGACTTTTTCTGGGTGAAAGGTACGATTTTTTTTTAAATTGAAAGCTTGAGGTTTTTTTTTACAAAAATATATAGTTGAAAAAATGGGACAAGAATGTTTAAATATTGAAAAATAGTAAGAAATGATTAAAAATAGCCAAAAATGGTAAAAAAAAATTGTTAATTATCAATATTTAACATTAGAACTACCGACGGTACATTTTGTCCCATGGTTATTAATAATAATTAATATTAATCATTGTGTATAGTTATTAGAATGTATAAACAATAATAAAAGAAAGATGAATTAAAAATTTTTTTAAATTCAATTATTTGTAATTTAATAAAAGGAAAAACTTTTTTTTGGTAAATTTTATTTACCAAATGTTATATATCCTATGCAATCATTAATTGGAGCTCCAGCATCTTGTAACTCAAGTGGAGGTTCACGATGACTGAATAGAACTTGTGGTGCTGTATGACTTGCTCTTCGTCCTTCTTTCAATTCTTGTAAAAACATTTTCCCAATAACCATATCATCTTCGTCTTTGAATATAGTACTAAAGACAACAGTGACTCTATCACTTTTTGCTTCCACATACCTGAAATAAATTAATAAAGTAATATATGCGACAATATTATTTTTCGTACTATTTTAAATGAACTTTTCATTATTTTTTTAGGTTAATATACAATAGTGCGGAATTAAAAACTCTTTCTACTTTCAATGCAATAAAATTAAGAAAAAGTGCAAAAAAAAAATTGTCGAAACTTTGGTTTCTAGTACTGAAGAGTTTTATTCTAATTAATATTTAAAAATTTCGAAAAAAAATTGATAACATTGCAGATTTTAGTTTCATAAAGTTTTAATGTACTAAAATTGATACACTAGTATTTTCAACGAAAGTAAACAAAGCGATATTCCCAAATAAATACCGGCGAAGTTTAAAAAGTGAAGCAGTAAGTGATATTAAAATCAAAAAGTGACAAAATTGATCATAATCGTCGATAAGCAGCAATTTTATAATTCGAAAATTTTGTTGGTTGGAAAATATTTTTTCTTTTATTTCTTTTTAATTTAATGAATGTAATTTAATTTTGCTGTCGAAATATTACGTAAATTTTCAAAAATATATTCGCAAATAAATATTAAGGAAAATATAAGAATAAAAGTAAAACAGATTTTTTTATCATTAATTAATGTCTAAGGTGTTGTGATTTTCTCTTTTGTTTTACCTTATTTCTGTGGTATTTCAGAGAAAGGAAATTTAATACGAAGCTTATTTGCAAACTATTATAAGTAATATAATTAAATTTATATTTTGAATAAATAATTTTTATGTAAAATTTTTTAGAAAAATAGATAATGAAACATTAAATTAAGATAGATAGTAAATTCACTTTTCAGTCACTTTTTCCTTCTATTATTCTAAATCGAAAACAATTATTAAATATTAAAAATTATTAATATTAAAAATATTATTTATCAAATAATAAAACTTGATAGAATTATTAATTATTAGCCTTTAATCATGTTATATCAGTCTGAATAAGAAAATATTTATTTTATATTTTTATGATTCTTCTAAATGTACTTTTATCTAAAAACTAATTTTTAAAAATATATTACTTATATAGTATATATACTTATAAAATATTTTATCTAGTTTAATTTTAACTATTTTATATGTAAAATACATTTATGTTTAAAGGTGTTTAGTAAATAATGTGAATGTGAGTTGTAATCACGGAGTAATAATAAGAAGATTTCACTGTATACGGGATCTTGAGAAAATCTTCTTCTTCTTCTTCTTCATTAGTGGCCTCTTGCGGAGCAAACAGCCATTACAAAAACTTAAAGTTAAATCATATGCTTAAACTAAGACTAAAGCATACATAGCAGCAAATGTGGCACCTGTGGTCGTAAGGAAAAATTAAGAAACAATTCCAACGCCGAAACAAAAAAGAATTTAAGGCAGTGGAGATTCAAATGTGAAACAAACAAAATCGAAAAAAACAAGGATGTAAAAAAAAAACAGGACAAAATTAAAAATAAAAAGAATAAAAATCATAAATCAAAATAACTAAGGAGAAGGGGAAAAATAATAAAAAGAACCAAAAATAAGAAAAGATTTTAACTAAAAAGTATTCGAGATTGACTGAGGCCCGGACAACCTATAGGAACCGCAGCTTTAAACTACTCAGTTCACCCGAAGGGAAAAGTCCCCAGGAAGAACCAGACCACAGCCACTTAAAGAGAGAAAAAAAACAAAAAATAAGAAAAATACAAAAAAAGGGGGGGGGGGAAATAAAAATAAATAAATAAAAATAGAAGGAGCAGAAAAGAATTAGTCCTAGACAACGAACCTGAAAGTGCCGGCATTAAAGAAAGCCTGAAGTGCCCTAACAAAGTCAACTCGCGGGCTAAAAGCCATCTCCTTGGGGTCAAATGAATCGGGGTCAGATATCTTAAGGCAATGGTAGAGAAAACCATAAAACTCCGGTCTCCTAGGAGAGAGAAGGGGGCATTCCGATACAAATGTCGAAGACTCCTAGTAGGACATCCGCAAGGGCAGGATAGGTCGATGTTCCACCTCATTCGCTGAAAATGCCCGGTCACACATAAGTGGCCAGTCCGCAAACGGGTAATTCTGCACACGGCCGGTCTAGGCGCCTCAATCGCAAGAAACCAAGGTCTAGGTGACTTAAATGGGATTCTGGAAAAATAATCTAAACCCTTAGGCCTGCCACCATAAAAAGGCCAGCAAGTTCGAAGCCAGTTGGAATGTTCCGAGTTGATCAAATCACGGAGGTCCTGATAAGGCAGACCAATTTTAATCTTAAAAGGCATCCCCGCGGAAACATTAGCAATTCTATCCGCAACATTATTACCCTTAACCCTACTATGGGCAGGAATCCACATAATTGTAATAGAGAGACCCCTTTCCCTAGCCTGATAGAGCAGATTAGCGATCTTGTTAATTAAATAAGAGCCTTCGCCATCTCTAAATCTGTTGACAATGCAGGGAAAAACCCTTCTGCAGTCAGACAGAATAAGGGTCTTCTCCATACCTCGGTTCAAGACATGCTTGACTGCCGTCAATTGAGCATAAGCTTCCGCTGTATAAGGAGATGCAAAATCCTGCAGAGAGAGTCCAAAACGAAAATCACTTTCAACGGAGTAAAAGGCGCATCCACATCTACTACGGTCAGGGACATTAACCGAACCATTAGTAAACATAAGAGAATATTCAGGGAACTGTCTGCCAACAATCTCCTCTAGTGATCCCTGTGGATCAGAGAGGTCCATGACAAATTCAGACGATGGATCCAAGATTATCCTATACGACGTAGTTAGGGCAATCCATGATATATCAAAGTCCACTGGAAGTCTTCTCCTATGGGTCAAATTCAACAAATCATGGAGTCCAACAAAGGCGTCCAAAATGCCCAGTCTCCCGTCAGAAGCGCCCCTTGTGGAGAATCTGGGAAATACAGATTTTCTAGTGTCATGTGATGCGTTTGTCTGTATTCGCGCGTTCGTCTTTGTGCTGTCACGTGTTTTTCTGTTTTATTCATTCGGGTTAAAAATGTAAATGTTTTTATTATTCTTCAAACATTGTTAGATTGATGTTCTCTTTTTACGATTCTTTTTGTGACATTTTTACTTTATCGGCCAAAGTTATCAAGTGTCAGTGCAACCTAACCTAAAAAATACATTCCAAAAGTATGTGTTTTAAAAAAAATGAGTGCAAATCAGATAACATTGCTGGCTATGTTGCAAGAAAAGCAAGCAGCAGATTTTCAAAATTTTTAGATAATAAAAAGTCCATTTCCATTCCATTTGCATGGAATGGAAATCGACTTTAACTTTATTGAAATACAACACTATTCTAGAAAGTCACAAATTGACAGACATCCAATTTAAGGGTTTCTTATTACATTCATCTTCGAAACTGCAAATTTTAATTGAGATTTTAGAAGCAGACGACTGGAAAACTGAAAGGAAATCTGTATTTTTCAGCTTTTCCGAGACATATAGGATAGTGAATGTAGTGTAGATAAAGTATAACTATGAAAATGGAATATCGAGAGTAAAACAAAGCAATGACTCAAGAACACGGAGAAAAAAAAGGAGAACCGCTTGATTTGGCAGTTGTGAGCTGTTCTCACTCGTCAGGGAGTAGCAGTTTCGCCGCGAAAGGAAAACCGTTTATCTTTTTCAGGAGAAACCGTTCACCTTCAGGAAAGCTAACCTCCTTTCCTTAAAAAGCGTACCCTTCGAGAAGCGAACGGCTCACTTTCCCAGCGGTCAAACAGCTGACTCTCGTTTAAGAGGACTGCTTTACCAGCGGGTTAAGCGGTTCTCCTTTTTTTTCTCCGTGTAATGTAGGTGAGACGCGAAATTGTAAATATCTGAAAGGAATAGTTAGGGAAGAAAATGAAGCAAGGACTTACTTGAGTTAATTTGGATTTTGGGAAAAGATTTTGATGATCAGTTTGAGGTAGTAAGGAAGTGGATTTCTATAAAAAAAATTTAATAAAATTAGCGGTCGAAAAATATGTCTCTAATAAAAAATAGAATACTTACATATACTCTTGATCTCGATATTCAATAACTGCTCTTTTGTGCATTTTTATACCGGCCTCATGTGAATCAAAATAATATTCTTGAAAATCAAAATATTTTTCAAAAACACTTGCAAAACAGTGTCTTTTAAGCAGGCCTATCTTTTTGATCAACGATTCCCAGTCGTCATTTAAATTATCCAAGTCTATTAGCACAGTCACATTATAACCTTAAATTTAAAAAATAATGCAATTTTATAATTATAACTAATTACAATATATAATTATAATGCAACCTTATAAGCTTGCAGTAATATTGAACGGAAATATTGTGTTAAAAAATTGTAGTATGATATTTGTTGTAAAATTGACGTTGAGATTTTGAGAATCATCAACTTTTTTCTGTTAGTCAAAAATTTTTGTCATTCACTGATTATGATAAAGGCAGATTTTTGACAATGCAAAAAAATATTTTAAACAAATTTGTTTTACTTTGAGACTTCAAGAATGCTCCGGGTAACATGCTTAGGATTGAGCTTGGAGTATCAAGAAAAAATAAATGTCTTTTTTTGCCTCTTAACTAGGAATAACTCTTCAATGTAAACCTCGAAACAAAATGACCTAAAGTTCAAAATATTCCTTATTTTTCCAGCTTTCATATGCATAAATAAAATTGGTGCACTCGGTGTTAACTTACTCAGTATTTTTAAAATTGTTTCTCGTTATGTATTAAAGTAAAAAATAATTTTACAAGACAAATTAATATATTATTAAAATAATAGAACTTGATTTAAATGTAAAAAAATCCCGGTTTGACTAAAAAATTAATTACATTCTTACCACTTTCTGGTTCAGTTAAATAAGAGCCATATTCTCTTTTTAGCAATTCATCTGCACCGTGCTCTTGTAGCTGTTTATAGAATTTAAGTAATATACTAATCTGAAAAAAGTTTTTAAATTTAAGGCATTATGTACAAATATATATAAAAAAATGCAAATAAATAAGGTTACTCACTCTAATTTTTGACTTGTCTTTACTAAAGTTTGAAACATGAAACAGAGCTCCATCGAAGTCAGCAATTGTAATGTCAATAGATTCAGGCTTGTGGCTGAAATAATTGAACTATATTACTAGAAGTTTCTACTTTTCATTTGTTACCGTAAAATGGGGTAAAGTCGGCGTTTGCGGGTAAAGTCGGCCGGCGCTTTAAACACTTAAATATTGTATTTCATTTATTAATTTACATTAATTCTAACTACATTTTTAATAAAACTCGGATTTCTTCTGGAAAAAAGTAATAGTTAAACTTTAAAATGATTTAAAGCGCCGGCCGACTTTACCCCATTTTACGGTAGTTTATAAAACGTCTAAATTCGCACAATCGCTAATAGACACTAATCAATTTTATTAAACTACAAGATTTGTTAAGAAAAAAAAAAGTCATTAACCTTATTACAATAGATATGAATAAATAATTAAAAGACACGTCAAGGTATGATCAAACAAAAATAGAAGACATAAATATTTTTTATCATTGTAAAAGTAGCAATTACTAAGGTTCTGAGTATCATCTTTTTTATTACTTGAGGGTTGACACAAAACTATTAATTTTTTCCCTGAGTTTTCCCTGATTTTCAGTCAAAATAAAAATTTCTTCCCTGACCCTAATGACACACGAATTTATCTGGATGGCTGAAATTTGGCACACTTACGTATTTTTACGTGAAAATTACAGGAAAAATATAGCGAACTTGATTCGTATCAATTTTTATAGCGTTGCGTTGGCAAGGAAAAATAAAAAATTTCAACAAAAAAAAATGGTTTATTCTCCCTAGCGCACACAATATTCAACCCAGACAGTTCATATTTAGTATACAAATGTATTTTTACGGAAAAAATACAGGAAAAACAAGTTGTAAATTCAGACGTTCATTACATGAACATTTTGCTTCCTCTTTACGATCAGCAAAAAAATTTGCTTCCTTGTGGAAAAAGCAAAATTTTATTGCCAAAATGTGAATTTTTAATTTTTTTAACTTTCATTAATTCTTTAAATTTACCTCAAATGTATACTTTATATATATCGATCGATTCGTCTTGACGTAAGGAATAAGATTATTTCATATATAAACTTCAATTTAAAAAATCACAAAATTTTATAGACAAAATGTGAATTTTTGATTTTTTAACTTTCATTAATTCTTTAAATTTACCTCAAATGTATACTTTATATACATCGATCGATTCGTCTTGACGTAAGGAATACGATTTTATTATTGGGATCTGACATTCGTACACATGCCATCTGGTGTTGAAAAATGTAACTAGTTTTGGATAACTGTTTGTGTCACTTGCAATTGTAGTTCCGCTGTCATTGTTAATTATTTTATCATTATGAATGAAGCTACATTTTTACCGCGTGAGAAATCTTCCTGCAGAATTAAGTGTTCTGTGAGAGGCTGTGGCAGTACTGTAGCGAAAAATTTAAGCGTAATTTTCCATAAATTTCCGAAACCAAAACAACGAGTAGTGGATGTGAAAATACGTTTGATAATTTTGAAAAAGTCGATCAATTAAAGGCCTGGAAAAATGCTTTAAAAATAAACAGTATAAAGCCTTCTATGAGAGTATGTTCTCTGCATTTCAAAAGAAGTGATTACATTTTGCCAGGTAAGTTTAAGATTTTAAAATTTGGAGGTTATATAATCTTTCATATTACCCGTGCATGTGAACATTTTGAAAGTTAATTTATCACTGTAAAAACGGATAAATAAATTTTTTTTTCAGTTCTTGTTAACAGACTTTTACAATGAAAAATGAAATACATACATTTATAAATTTTCATATAATTTCATGAAATATAAAGGAAAATACAATACTTTTCTTGCACATGTATCGCTAGATTTGAGAAAATAATTTGTATAAAAATAAGATTTCTTTTATATTTTTATTCATGTTTGTAAATAGGAATGTAAATAGTAATTTTGTATTAAAAAAATTTACTTATACATTTATTAAATTAAGTAATATTTTTTAAACGATTTTATTCTATTGCATCCCATGTTATTCCCATGTAAATTCACTAAAAGTGTTACCCAATTTACGCCATATTGCTTTAGGCCCCGCCCCCATGTCAGATCCCAATATATAACCTTTAATTTTTCTATTTAAAAATTTTTTCGATCAAAAAAAAATTTTTGGAAAAAAGACGATAAAATTTTTTTTGGGGTATTTTTCAAAATCCTTTGGTCAGATTTGAGATATTAATATGATAAATTAGCCTACCAAATTTTATCTAAATCCATTAAAATCTGTTAAAGTTATTTTCTAAACAAAAAAGGGATCCACACACACATACATACATCCGGACAATTGATCAGGACTACAAAGCTTCCTCCACAAGGAAGCAAAAAGCGGTCACGATTAGAGTTGATGATTAACTTTTTATCAAGTTTTTCAAGAAAAACTTACAATTTTAGGAAAAAAATGTACTTTTCCACCAAAAACGAACAAAATTTTATTTAAAGGAAATCAAATTTATATAATTTAACGTATTTTTACGTGTAGATTACAAAAAAAATAAAGTGAGCATGATTGGAGTTGATTATCATAGCGTTGTCAAGGAAAAACCATGAATTTTTACGAGAAAATTACAGGAAAAATATAGCGAACTTGATTCGGATCAATTTTCATAGCGTTGTCAAGGAAAAATAAAAAATTTCGAAAAAAAATGGTTTATTCTCCCTAGCGCACACAATATTTAACCCAGACTATTCATATTTGCTGTATAAATGTATTTTTGCGTGAAAATTATAGGGGAAAAATGTAAGCACGTTTGGAGTTAATGATCAATTTTTATCAAATTTTTAAAGAAAAATGATAATTTTAAGGAAAAAATGTAATTTTTCCGCAAAAAACGAAAAAAGTTTATATCAACACGGAAAAAACAAACTAACTATTTTAGCACCAAACTGCTTTATCCTTTATTAGTATGCAATTTCGTTTACCTATTAAAGTATGAAATAATGCTTTTTTAGTTTAAAGTAAGTCCATACTAAATAAGTATAATGGTTATACTCTTATAGTATGTAATAGTGACGTACTTTAAAAGCATAAAATTGATGCCCGCGAAGTACGACATATAGTCTACCTAAAATAGCAAGAGCTTCTTCCTTTTTGGTGTATAAATTCTTGCAACCTGCGTTTTGGCCTATATCGATATATCAATGGTTGGAAAGGGAGGGAGGCGTGGCCAAAACGCAGGTTGCAAGAATTTATACACCAAAAAGGAAGAAGCTCTTGCTATTTTAGGTAGACTATATGTCGTACTTCGCGGGCATCAATTTTATGCTTTTATAGTACGTCACTATTACTATACGAGTATAACCATTATACTTACTTAGTATGGACTTACGTTAAACTAAAAAAGCATTATTTCATACTCTAATAGGTAAACGAAATTGCATACTAATAAAGGATAAAGCAGTTTGGTGCTAAAATAGTTAGTTTGTTTTTTCCGTGAAGTGATTAAAATTTATACATTTTGACGTATTTTGACGTGTATATAACACAAAAAATATAGCGAGGATGATTGGAGTTGAATTTTCAGTTGCTGTCAAGAAAAAACTGATAATTTTAGAAAAAATTATGAATTTTCTCCCAAAAACGAAAAAAATTTTATCTAAAGGGCTTCAAATTTATTATTTTCACGTATTTTTATGTGTAGATTATGGAAATAATTTAATAAACATGATAAGAAGTGGAAAAAGTGGACTTTTTCCTTGAGTTTATTTCTTCAGTCGTTACAACTCTAAAATAAAAAAAATCGGACAAATGCGAGTTACACTCGCACTGAAATCGAAGCGAACTTATTTGGTATAAAAACAAATGTTTAAAAAATGTGTTGTATGTCAAATAAAATAAGTGATACAAAAAGGAACAATTTTGTAAAATTCAAGAAAATTGTTCCTCTTCGTATCACTTATATTATTTGTCATACAACAGATATTTTTTAAATATTTGTTTTTATACCACCAAATAAGTTCGCTTCGAATACGGAATCCTCGATTTTAGTGCGAGTGTAACTCACACTTGTTCGATTTTTTTATTTTCTTTAAATTAAATTATTAAAAAAATATAATAACTTCAATTGTTTGCAAAATTAATTGTTATCCATAATTTAAAACAATTTGATCTCCTGAAATAAACTAATAAGTTTATTCAAGTTTGTCAAAAATTCAATTACATATAACGTTTTTAATTATTATTTAAAATTAAATTTTTGTTAATATAATTTTTAAAAAATTTCAATAATTTGAAATGCCCGTTGAAATGGAAATAAATAAATAATTCATGTTTATTAAAATTTTAATTGAAAATTCTATAAAATTCTATTATTTCTAAATAAAAGTTTGTAAAGTTTGTGAAAAAAATTTTATCAATTAAAATTTATGAAAGTAGAATTTAAAATCTTTTGAAATTTAATTACTTCTAAAAAAATGTTAACTCGAACTCTTCCAAAATCAATTAGTAATTGAATAATTAATTGAATGTTAATGAATTGAAAAATTTTTTTCCCCAATTTTTACCTATATGTGGACGTCCGCATGAAAAGGTCCTACTTTGTCGATTATAATAAGGATTATTTTTGCGTGAATATTAATGCGAATATAATCCTTATCGTAATCGACAAAGTCGGACCCTTTCATGCGGACATCCACAAATATAATTCTTTGCTTAATGAATTATGTCAACTGTTTTAATCCAATTATTCAAAAATTCAATTATTTAAATTGTTTTTTAATTAATGTTTATATTTAAAACAAAATTATAATTTTTGAAATCTCAAAAAATGCAATTATTTCAAAAAATCTTAACTGTACTTCCATCAAAATTCAATTTTATTTAGAACATGTTTCAGTTGAAAATTCTTTAAAATTCAATTATTGTCTAAAAATTATAAAAAAAATTTCATTAATTCAAAATAAAAGTTTCAATTGAAAATCTCCTGAAATTTAATTATTTTTAAAAAATAATTAAATTAAATTTCATTTTTTTCAATAATATTTTAATCAAATTCTTGGAAAATTAAATTTTTTAAAACATTATTCAATTGAAAATTCTTTATAATTCAATTGTATCTAAAAATTTTCTTTCAAATTCTTCGCTAAATTAATTTATTTAGGTAATTACTTTAATACAGTTTTTCAACAATTCAGGAAAATAAAATGGTTTTTAATAAAAAATACTCTAAAATTCTACTATTCTTTAAAGTTTGTAAAATAATTTAAACAATTAAAATTTATAAAACTTTATATTTAAAATCTTCTAAAATTTAGTTACTTGCAAAAAAAATTTTAACCCGAACTCTTCCAAATTAAATTACATACTTATTGAATAATTAATTCAATATCAATTCAATTGAAAATTTTTTTCTCAATTATTGTTTGAAATTTGAAAAAAAAATTTATTAATTCAAATTTATAAAAGTTTCAATTGAAAATATCCTGAAATTCAATTATTTCTAAAAAATTTTAATCAAATTTTGCGAAATTCTGAATTTGAATAATGCTTTGTAGTCCTTTTGTTTATAAAATTTTTAAAAATGGTGAAAACAAATTTTCCTCTATATAAAAACATGTTATATGAGATCCTGCTCAATTGTCCAGATGTATATGTGTGTGGATCTTTTTTGTGAACACGATATGTTTAATAGGTTTTAATGGATTTGGGTAAAATTTGGTAGGCTTATTTATCACATTAATCTCTCAAAATTGACAAAAGGATTCTTAAAAATACCACAAAAAAATTTTTATCGTCATTTTTCCAAAAATTTTTTTTAATTGAAAAAATTTTTGAATAGAAAAATTTAAGGTGATATATAATAAAATCGTCATCCTTACGTTAAGACGAATCGATTGGTATATATAAAGTATAGATTTGATTTAAAATTTAAGAATTAATGAAAATTAAAAAATTCATATTTTAACTAAAAAAAATTTGTGTTAATTTAAATTCAAGTTAATACATAAAATAATTGTATTTCTTGCATTGAAACGAATCGATTCGCATATATAGAGTATATTTTACACCCAAAATTAATTAAAATTTTCTTAAATTTTCAAAAAATTTAAGAAATTTAAAACAGTTTTCAACTCAAAATGTTTTAAATCAATCAATTGAATTAGAGAAAATTCATTCCTTTCTTCCAAGAGGAATTTTTTGCTTCACACAATGAGGAAGCAAAATGTTTATGAAATAAATATAAAGGACCCCCTCCTTGTTTTTTAATGTAACTTTAAATTATTTTTGAAAATTTGTTCTGAAACTGAATTGAAATATTGAAAATTTGTCTCAGTCTAATTCGGTGGTTTAAAAAGAAAAATTCTCGAAAATATTTCTGTCAAACATTCTTATTAAGGAATTAATCAATCTGATTTAATTTCTAATAACAAATTGTTAATAATTATATAATAATAAAATGCTTGGTCTGTCCTTCTGTCCTAACTTGAAGTTGGCCTTTTCTGATTTCACGTGTTTTTTTGAATAGTAATCTTATGACGTGTCAAATTTTGACAATTCTTTTTCTCATTTTTGCCAAAGTTGTATAATTGTGTTTCCAAATTTCGGAATAAGTTTTTTTTAAATTCCAAATTCGAAAATTCAATTCACGAAGCTAAAGTACACAACGTTTATCAACGAAAATTTTTTTAAAGTTGTATATTGATTCAAAAATTATATACAAATACAAAAAATTTATGATGAGAAAAAAGATGCCCCAGGAAATTTCGTACAAGATAGTAATTTGAACAAAATTTATTTTTATAAATTTATTTTTAAGGTACCAGGGGCCAACGAATACCTATTAAATATTAATTATAAAAACACAGGCATCGAATCAACTTAAAGACACAAAAAAGTCGTTTTAGTCGAATTATATTCCAAAAAAAGTGGATTTGTTTTTTATTTTAACAAAAATATTTTACAGATAAAGTTAAAGTTCAAATTTTTAGAAATAATTAAATTTCAAAAGACATTGTTAATTTTCAAACAATTATTAAATTTTACAGAACTAAACATAATTTATCAAACAATTTTTGGAAAACATTTTTTAAATTTAATTGAATTTTCAAAGATTTAAAATTGAGATTTTTGAAATTAATTGAAACTTTAAGTGTTTTGCATTTAAAATTTTAGATGATTTCATTAAAAATTTATTAGAAAATGCGGACAAAATACAATAATTTGAAAATCATTTTTAATTGAAAAATGGTTTCAGATAGTTGAATTTTCAAAGAATATTATTAAAATAGTTAAAAATAATTGAATTTCCTTAGAGTTATAACTGAAATTATTAAATTTCAAAAAAAAAAAAAAATTTCGATGAAAAATTTAAGAAATAATTAAATTTTGGATGCTTTTAAATTCAAATTTTGGAAAATAATTGAATTTCAATTGAAATTTTGTATAATAATTGAATTTTAATTGAAATTTTTTAAAATAATTGAATTTTATTTGATTTTAAATTGAAAATTTGTAAAATAATTAAATTTTATGTTTAATTTTGTATTGAAATTTTTAAAACTAATTGAATTTTAATTGATTTTGAATTAAAATTTTGGGAAATAATTGAATTTTAATTGATTTTAAATTTAAATTTTTTAAAATAATTGAATTTTATTTGATTTGAAATTGAAAATTTGGAAAATAATTGAATTTTTAAAAGATTTTGAATTAAAAATTTTAAAAATAATTACATTTTATTTTATGTTTAATTTTGTATTGAAATTTTTAAAAATAATTGAATTTTAATTGATTTTGAATTAAAAATTTTTTAAAATAAATTAATTTTATTGGATTTGAAATAGAATATTTTGAAAATAATTAAATTTTAAAAAATCTAGAATTGAAATTTTGAAAATAATTGAATTTTCTTTGATTTTGAATTGAAATTTTGGTTAATAATTTAATTTTAGTTGATTTTTGATTGAAAATTTAAATAATTAATTTTGAATAGAAATTTTAGAAAATAATTGAATTTTATTTCATTTAAAATTGAAAACTTGGTAAATAATTAAATTTTAAATTGAAAATTTTGGATAATTATTGGATTTTTAATTGATTTTGAATTAAAATTTCGGGTAATAATTGAATTTTAGTTTATATTGAATTGAAATTTTTAAAAAATAATTCAATTTTATTGTGATATTTTTTTTAAAATTGAAAAATAATTTTGATATAATTGAATTTGTGATGTATTTCATTAAAATTATTAAAAATAATTAATTTAGTGAAGAATCATTTTAGTTCAAAATTTGTTAAATAATTGAATTGAAGAAAATCTAAAGAAGATCTACATTTTATACTAAAAAATGTATTTTATTTACATTTTTTTTCAAATGTAAAAAAAATGTCGCATTTTTTTAAAATCCAAGGCCTGTAAACATATAATTTTCATTATTGTTATTTAATATGTAATAATATTCTAATAAATTAAATTATTATTGATAATATTAATCTTTAATATCTTTATAACAAACAATTAAATACTCAATTTGGCAGGCTTGCGCGCGTTTAATTTTAAAATATTTATCAAGTAATTAAATTTATTTAAAATAAAAAAAGCGACTTTTTAGACTTTTCAGGTCGGTGAATTTCACATCGATTACGATCATCGAAATTTTAAAAACCAAGATACTGCATAAACACAACAAAAAATTACAAAAAAATTCAAAAAAACATTATACTTAACAAAAAAAATTATGTTCAACCCTAAATTCATTAGAAAAACTCCCCTAGTATAGGTTTATGCAGTATCTTGGTTTTTAAAATTTCGATGATCGTAATCGATGTGAACTTCACCAACCTGACTTTTCTTGTAATGTAAATCGACAAAAACGACTTTTTTCTTTCAAAAGTCGTTCCGAGGCCAACAATTATAAAAATGTAAGACAATAATTTTTAGAAGCAAAAGTTTGAATTGAAGATTTCAAAAAATATAATTTTAGTACCTAGCATTTTTAGATATTTTTCCAGTACTTTTCATAAAATTCCCTGACTAATCTCATTTTCCCTGAATTTTCCATAATTTTCCAGACCGTGGCAACCCTGTTTTACTTTTGTTATTTTAAATAGTTATAAATTTTTTTAAATTTCCTTCCTTACAATGAAAAAAAAAATTTTCTTTGTTATTTTGTACATTATTTTTTTCACTTTGCACAAATAATGTTATTTGTTATTTCTTTCAAATTCTCTAACATTTCTCTGGTGATTCTTTTAAAATTCAACTTCTTCTATATGTAATTTTTATTATTTTTCATTGGCAATTTTGTTTTTTATTTTTCTAATGATTCCAATCAATCAGTCATATAGATTTAAAAAAAAAATTTTGAATACCATCTAAAATAAATTTTTTGTATTACAGAATAATTTTAAAAACTAAATACAAAAAAAATTTGGCGCAACTTAAATTTTGACAGATTAAAATTTCACTGGCCCCGTAAATTTTTTTTTGTTTTAAATTAATAATAAGGATTTAATGATGATTCATTACAGCATTTCTAGTTTGAAATTTTCATTGTTTAAATGATATCCAGATATCACGAATTTCCCGTACTGCTAGACACTCTGAACAATAATTCAAAAAAAAAAAATTGTAGGTTCTTATAAATATGAAATTATAGAATATGAATATTCAAATATAAAAATTAAAATAAATATAAAGCAATAAGTAATAATTATATTCTATAGCAAATATTTAATGTTGACACACATACCGGAAAATTTATAAAAAAACAATTTTATATTTTTGTGAACAAAAAGCATTCAAATAAAAAAAATGTACTAAATTTTTTTAGAAGCTTTGAAATAAAAATTTTCCTCATTAAATATTTGGAAAATTGAAAAGATATAATGATTATTAAACAATAATAATAATAATCTCTATTTCATATTTTTAATGTAATTATGTCAAACTGAAGGGAGTCTTAAAAATTTCTTTTATATTACTTACCCTGACAAGGCATTTTTTATTTTATTAGTTAATGTTTCTTCTAGAATTCTATTATTAATCTCAAGTAAAATCATCACTGTAATAAAGTGCACTCACTGAAAATGAAAAGATAAGTTTTAAATAACCAACATTACTGTCACTTTTGCAAATGTATGTATGTATCACCGGCACGAAATAGTGTAAGTATAGATATAGTGACATGCAGGAGTCTATCGGCCAACGCACAATAACTTCTCGAAAGTCGTATTCACGAACGAAAAAGATAGAAATATATTTGCATCCTTTTCTATTTCAAGAACAAAGTTCACAAAGTTATTATTTTCGTTTTGTCACGAGGTGGCGCGTAGAATCTTCCGTAGTCTCGGCAGCACGCAGCTTACAATCGAAGGCACATTCCTGTCTTCATGTTATATGTTCAATGGTTTGTATGCTGTCATGTAAATACAGCCTTAGGCCAAGTGTATAAAACACAACACATATCCAAATATAACCTTTGGAAAGCTGATTAGTTTTGTTTAAAAAATGTCATTTTTAAAGTCGTTTTTTAAATTCGAAGTGGCTAGTCGTCCGTCTAGACGGATAAATATTTTTGTCCGTCTATTATACTGGCATTACTGTTAAAAGTATCAGACAGTATCCGGATGAAATAAATGGATTAAAATTTGTCCGTCTACTCTTAAGAAAATAATTATTAATAATAAGTCACGATCCAACTAACAAGGTCCTGCCACGCGCCTGTAAAAAACTCATCCAATTGGATTCAAAATAAAAAAAGAAATATTCATAAGAAACAGTTACTGCTAACCGTTAAAGGTAATTTTATTATAAAAAAACAAAACTATATACATTAAATTGAATATTTTACTAATTAAAATATTAAGGGGTTAGACCACTGTAAAGACCGAAAATCAGACCCATTTTTAAGATTTTTTTTCAAGAACAGAATTAAAAAATCAATTATATATTATTTTTAAGTACATATTAAAATTTAATTTTAATACATTAAAAAATTATTTTCATAAGGTAAAACAATTAAAATTGCGGCAAAGACAGTCGATCTACAAAAACCCTTTTTTATGCAGAAGTGTAAGGCCGGTAGAAAATCTTTTTCAGTTTTTGACTTAAAACAAAAAACCAAATTTTTTTCTTATTTTGTAATTCAAAATCTATAGAAGCTTTTAAAATTTTTTTTTTATATTTTTAAAAATTTTTTTTAGCTAGCCATTTTTGAGTTATGAAATTTTCAAAATTGCAGAATTTTCATGACTTTTAATTTTTGAATGCTCATAACTTCTTTAAAAATGCATCAATTTTAAAAGTTTTTTTTCAAAATGTATGTTTTTAAACGTACTTTAAAAAAAATGGAAATTTTTTTCAAATAATATTACTATTAAATTTTGAAGTTATAAAGATAAAAAGTCATTTTTCTTAATTGACGTAGTGATAGATTTTTTTCAAAAATTTTCAAAAAAATTACTTCCTTTTACGAAAATTTTAAGCCTAGTCTGATCGTGGACTAAGACTAGGTATTTTGATTCGCTGATTACGAAAATCTTAGTAGTATCCTTACCCGACAAAAGGTATAGATCTTATTAAAATACTTTTTTTATATCTTATGAATTTTTTTAAATTTTTTGTATATTTTACCCAATAAAGGAAAAAACCATAAACTTTAGGACATTTTTTATGGTTTTCACCATAAAAATCAAATTTTCGGGTATTGTCACTAAGATTTTCGTAATCAGCGCATCAAAATACATAAAAGTACGTAGTATAAAAACCAAAAATATTTTTAAAATATTCAAAAAATTTTGAAAAATTACGAAAATATTGTAAAAATTGTTTGCCCACGATCAGACTAGGCTTAAAATTTTCATAAAAGGAAGTAGTTTTTTTGAAAAAATCGATCAGTACGTCAATTAAGAAAAATGACTTTTCATCTTTATAACTTCAAAATTTAATGGTATGTAATATCATTTGAAAAAAAATTTCGATTTAAACTTTAAAGAGTTTGAATTTCGCGCTGAATGTTTATATGTATGTATATTTATATAAATATATACGGGTAGACGGACAGTTTTAACAAAAAATATTTCATCCGTCTACTGTGCCAGTAAATACTGGCACTAGACGGACAATTTATATTATCCGTCTATAGACGGACAATTTAAATTCATCCGTCTAGACGGACTACTAGACGCAGCCTTTTAAATTTGTCTAATTAATATACAAAAATGTGTCAATTAAAAAAAGAATTATAATTTCTTTATATTTTTCAAGCACATTTTGAGGTCTCTCATAAATTTTCTCAACACTTATACAACCTTTTTGAATTTATACTGTAGGCTCAATTAGAGTTTAATTATGGTACGAAGCAGTGACAAGTAAGTACAAATATTGTAATGTAAATATTGAAAAATTAATTAATATTTTATTAATTGTTGTGATGTTTTTAAAGATAATATATATATATATATATATGTATTAATTAAGTAGGGTGAAACTTATAAATAGAGGTTAGGTGTTCGGCATGTTTTTAAAAACGTTAATCTGTCGGAAAAAAAAGAAAGTTGAACATTGTTATGTATTATTTTGTTGATATTAGAGAATTTTAACACAACTAAAAAAATTTTGTTTTGTTATTACAATAAAATAAATTTTTTTTTTTTTTTTGTAATTTCGAATTGTACAAAAATAAAATTTTCTTGTTGGTACAAAATAATAAATTAAATGATTTTACAATAGTAAATTAATTATTATAATAATTAAATAAACTTTAATAATGGATGTACCTCCAATTAAGGGGATCTCCGATTTTTATGATATTAAATATACCTACATATTTTATGCGCCGATTATGAAAATCAAAGTAAAAATTGACGAAAAATTTTTTTTTTGTGGTTTACTTACAAAAAACGTAAAGTTTTAAAAAATGTTTCAGACTTTTAAAAAAAAAAAATTTTAACATAATACGTTTTTTTCAGTATACAATTTAGATCTTCTTTATTTCAATTATTTAAAATTTTTTTAACCAAAACCTCTTATTTTTAATTAATTATTTTTAATAAATTTAATGAAATTCTTCACAAATTCAATTATCTTAAATTATTATTTTTCAATTAAAAATTTTATGAAATTCAACAATTGTTTACAATTTTAAAAAAAAATCAAATAAAATTACCAAAAATTGCAATTTTAAATTTTATTATTTTTAAAATTTTTCATCTAAAACTTTTTAAAATTTAATCATTAAATTATAACTCTTAATTATAACTCTTCTGAAATTGAACAATTGTTTACAATTTAAAAAAAAATCAAATAGAATTACCAACTGTAACTCATCCAACATTTAATGACTTTAAATGACTTTTATAATATTCTTTAAAAATTTAAATATTTGAAAGTATTTTTCAATTATAACTTTTGAAATTGAATTTGTGTCTGTAATATTTTCTTCACCAACAGAAATCACCAAAAATTTTAATTAAAAATCACTTGAAGTTTAATTCATTTGAATCTTTGAAATCTTTGAAAATTCAATTAATTTTCAAAAATTTTATCTAAAATTATTTGATTAATTATTTTCAATTCTGTAAAATTTAATTATTGTCTAAAATTTAACAAAATTTTTTGAAAAACTTTTGAAATTTAATTATTTCTAAAAATTTCAACTATAACTCGACCATGATTCAATTATTTTTAATAACTTTAATATTTCTTTAAAAATTCAATGATTTAAAAAAGTTTCTAATAAAAACTTTTTTTTTAGAAATTTGTCCTACTTAATTAAAATTTTTTAAATTTACTTTTTCTATTTGGAAACATTTGAAATAAATTATCTTGATAATATTCCTGTAGAATTATTCGTATTCAGGATTTCTTTCGCTTTTGATTTATATTTTATTTATAAACTAGTAAAATTAAACGCGCGCAAGCGCGCCAAATTGAGTATTTAATTATTTGTTATAAAGAAATTAAAGATTAATATTATTAATAATAATTTAATTTATTAGAATATTATTACATATTAAATAATAATAATTTTAAATTATATGTTTACAGGCCTCGCATTATACGACTTTTTTCAAAAATACGACTTTTATCGACTTATTTTAATAAAATGCGACATTTTTTTTACATTTGAAAAAAATGTAAATAAAATACATTTTTTTAGTATAAAATGTAGATCTTCTTCAGATCTTCTTTTTGTTGTGTTTATGCAGTATCTTGGTTTTTAAAATTTCGATGATCGTAATCGATGTGAAATTCACCGACCTGAAAAGTCTAAAAAGTCGCTTTTTTTATTTTAAATAAATTTAATTACTTGATAAATATTTTAAAATTAAACGCGCGCAAGCCTGCCAAATTGAGTATTTAATTGTTTGTTATAGAGATATTAAAGATTAATATTATCAATAATAATTTAATTTATTAGAATATTATTACATATTAAATAACAATAATGAAAATTATATGTTTACAGGCCTTGGATTTTAAAAAAATGCGACATTTTTTTTACATTTGAAAAAAAAATGTAAATAAAATACATTTTTTAGTATAAAATGTAGATCTTCTTTAGATTTTCTTCAATTCAATTATTTAACAAATTTTGAACTAAAATGATTCTTCACTAAATTAATTATTTTTAATAATTTTAATAAAATACATCACAAATTCAATTATATCAAAATTATTTTTCAATTTTAAAAAAAATATCACAATAAAATTGAATTATTTTTTAAAAATTTTAATTCAATATAAACTAAAATTCAATTATTACCCGAAATTTTAATTCAAAATCAATTAAAAATCCAATAATTATCCAAAATTTTCAATTTAAAATTTAATTATTTACAAAGTTTTCAATTTTAAATGAAATAAAATTCAATTATTTTCTAAAATTTCTATTCAAAATTAATTATTTAAATTTTCAATCAAAAATCAACTAAAATTAAATTATTAACCAAAATTTCAATTCAAAATCAAAGAAAATTCAATTATTTTCAAAATTTCAATTCTAGATTTTTTAAAATTTAATTATTTTCAAAATATTCTATTTCAAATCCAATAAAATTAATTTATTTTAAAAAATTTTTAATTCAAAATCAATTAAAATTCAATTATTTTTAAAAATTTCAATACAAAATTAAACATAAAATTTAATTATTTTCAAAATTTTTAATTCAAAATCTTTTAAAATTCAATTATTTTCCAAATTTTCAATTTCAAATTAAATAAAATTCAATTGTACTTCGCTGTCTCGTCCTCTATATCATATTATGTAGTAATGTGTTTACTGACCGTTCCAGCACAGTTATTTCAAAGATTTTTTAAAATAACCCATTTTTTGCCGCCTTCAGTCTTAGATGGCGCTCTGTGCCTTTCCACCCCTCTCTGCTGTGTCCCCAAATCGCCATTATGTTTTTTCTGTGCGTTCCAGTACGTATCGCAGAGATAAAATTTATATATTTTCTATATTAAAAAAATGACTCCGTCGGTCGAGAAAAGTAAAAAGAGAAAAAATAGTAAACGTTACAAGCGGGAAAAAATTCAGAAATTAGTTAAAAGGTTAGAGAAACTAAAAAAATACGCAAAACGGAAAAGTGGACACCGACGCCATCGCTCTAGTTCGAGCTCATCGGAATCATCACGATCATCAAGCTCAACGAGATCATCGAGTTCATCAAGTTCATCGAACAATAAAAAGTCATTAAAACGGAAATATTCGTCAAAAAGTGGTGCGCGTTATCCAAGAGAAACGTCACACAAACAAACGCGAAGCACGTCACGCAGCCCAAGCAATGTATCCGCTCGACAAAGCGATCGTTCTTCAAGATCCATATCCCCTGCATCTTCGAGTGATACTCGCTATCCTAGAGGAGCGATGCACAAAAAATCGAAGAGAACCAAATACAGTGCGCGAAGCTCGAGAAGCTCGTCGCTCGAAACACGCCATTCTCGGCGTTGTTCGCACAGCAGAAACCCTAGTGTAGAGAGTAAAAAATCAAAAGAGGGTGAAGTAACGGGGGAAAAAAATTCAGATAATGCAAAAAATAAAAACAAGGATGATAATAATAATTCAAACAAAAATGATGTCGAAAAGAATAATTCTGGAAAAATTGACGTCGGTATCGAAGATCCCTGGATTAATCGACTGGGAGAAAATATCTCCAAACAAGAACCTCTCTCTACACCAATCAACGATGCAGTGGCTCAATCGTGGATCAAAATATTAAAATCTGGCTTACCAAAGGAAGCTCGAAAACAGCTTCTTGAAAAATATCCTCCCCCAGAAAATTGCGATATAATGGGTGCTCCTTCCGTTAATAAAGAGGTCGAAGGTGCGATGGGCCCAGCTGCTAAGAAAAAAGATGATTTTCGTGTGGCAGATCAGAAGCAATTAAGTGCTGGATTAAGCGCTTTAGGTAAAGCTCTGTCAACAACAATGGACAAAGAGAATATGTCAAAAGAAATCATGTTCGACTATTTATGCGATGCGGGAAAAATTCTCGCAGATCTACAATATAACCTCTCTATGACAAGAAGGGCTTTTATCATCCCTGCTCTCGACCCACTTATGAAAACAGTCTCTGAAGAGGCTGCTGTAGATACTTTTCTTTTCGGGCAATCTTTTTCTGAGAGCATAAAAACAGCAAGAGAAGTTCACAAAGCAGTGAAAGATTTAGAGAAAAATTCTTCGAACAGCAGTGGAAAAAGAACGTATGGATCTTACAACAAAGACAATTCAAGACAATCTCAATCAAGTCGAATTCATTTAAACTCGAAGGGCCCTCTCAAGTACAGCACGTCGAGCAAGAAGGGGGGGGCAAAAGCCTCAACATCAGCAGTATCCGTCATATCAGCCGAATCAGAACAAGAAAAAATTCATCAAGAAATAAAGGTAAGCGCCTTAGCCGGTCGTTTAAAATATTTTAAAAATGAGTGGAAAAAATTGACCTCGGACCAGTTTATTTTGCAATGTATAGAAGGTTATAAAATTCCTTTTCATAGCACCCCAAGCCAAAATAAACAACCGTCGGAAAGGGTTTTATCCTCAGAAGAGGAGGAAAAAACCAAAAAATCAATAGGTCAGTTAGTAGAAAAAAAGGCAATTTTTGTTTGTGACCATTCTAACGAAGAATTTCTGTCACCTTATTTTCTTCGAGAAAAACCAGATGGCAGCGACAGATTTATTTTAAATCTAAAAAATCTTAATAAATTCATCGAACCTCCTCATTTTAAAATAGAGAATGTCAAAACAGCGCTAAAAATGATAACTAGAAAGTGCTTTATGGCGTCAATTGATTTAAAAGACGCATATCTTTTAATACCAGTTAAAAATAAATATCGCAAATTTCTTAGATTCTGTTTTCAGCAAAACCTGTACGAGTTTACGTGCATGCCGTTTGGACTGTGTACAGCACCATACACCTTCACAAAAATCCTAAAACCAGTGGTTCAAAAGTTAAGAGAAGAAGGGATTGTGCTAGTCATTTACCTAGATGATATCCTTATATTTTCAGAATCAGAAAATGAATGCACAAGAAGAGTTATGGCAACTCAAGCACTCTTAGAGTCTCTAGGATTCATCATTAACACTAAAAAAAGTCAACCGAATCCTTCACAGCTATGTACCTTTCTAGGGTTCGTTTTCGACAGCGTTGACTTCTGTATTCGATTGACAAAAAAAAATAGAATCTATCGGAAAATTAATAAAAAAATTTCTGAAAAAAGAAAGTTGTAAAATTCAAGAGCTAGCTAAAGTAATCGGTACCTTAGTAGCAGCATGTCCAGCCACAAAATATGGATGGCTTTATACTAAAACGCTGGAAAGAGAAAAGTACATAGCTTTGAAGGAATCTTCCCAAAATTTCAACTCCTTGGTAAAAATTTCGAATGAGGCAAGAATGGATTTAAACTGGTGGGCTGTAAACATAAAACGGTCAAAAAATCCTATCAGAGAAGATAAGTATGAATTAGTAATCTTTACCGATGCTTCCTTGACAGGCTGGGGAGTTTTTTGTCAAGGACAAAAAGCACACGGATGGTGGAGTTCAGAGGAAAAAAAGCAGCACATAAATCATCTTGAACTAAAAGCTGCGTTTTTTGGACTTCAGTGTTTTGCAAAAGAATGTGAAAATTGCGAAATACTGCTAAGAATGGATAATCAGACAGGAATCGCTTATATTAACAGAATGGGCGGAATTCGTTTTCCCAAGCTTACAAAACTCAGCAGAGAAATATGGAACTGGTGCGAAGATCGCAACATATGGATTCATGCTTCATATTTAACTTCGAAAGATAACTTTGAAGCCGACGAGCAATCACGAATCCTGCCAACCGAAACAGAGTGGGAATTGTCTGACTATGCTTTTCAAACCATAATAAAAAAATTCGGAAAGCCAAAAATTGACCTCTTTGCATCTCGTGCTAATAAAAAATGTAAAAACTTTGTTTCTTGGCACAAAGATCCGGAATCGGTTGCAGTAGATGCATTCACAATAAACTGGTCCAGTAATTTTTTCTACGCATTTCCACCATTTACGTTATTGCTAAGAGTGCTGAGAAAAATACAAATAGACAAAGCGGAAGGGGTTGTCGTGGCTCCTTTATGGCCATCACAACCCTGGTATCCAATTTTCTTAGCACTAACGATTGATGAACCAATAATTTTTAAACCTCATGAAAACTTATTGACTTGTCCTTACAGGAATACACACCCGCTCTCAACGAAACTTTCCCTGGTGGCGTCGAGATTATCAGGAAAGGTTTCAACGCTAGAGGAGCCACGGAAGATGCAGCCTCAATAATGCTCGAGTCCCTATCCGATAAGACCAAGAAGCAGTATAATAAGGGCGTAAAACTCTGGTGGGAATTTTGTCAAAAACACCAAACTCCAGTTTTTAACAGTTCGACACACAACATCTTACTTTTCTTCTCGGAAGTGCTGAAGGTGACATCGTCTTACAGCACCTTAAACGTTTATAGAGCGGCGATATCGATTTTAATGGGCAACGAACTCAGTGAAAGCGCGGATCTATCAAGGTTCTTCAAAGGAGTGTCTCGACTAAGACCTCAGAAGCCTAAATATTCCACAACTTGGGATCCAGAGCCAGTGTTGAAATATTTAGAAACTTTAGACGTAAATGAGAACCTATCATTAGAAAAAATAACAAAAAAGCTAGCAATACTACTAGCATTAACAACAGCGCAGCGAATCCAATCAATATCAAAAATCAGGCTAGAGGATATAAGCACCACATCGGAATTGATGCAGATTAAGATTTCAGAAAGAATAAAAACAACAGCAAACAATAGAGATCAACCAGTTCTTCACATCCCGTTCTTTAAAGAGAAACCCAAAATATGTACAGCCTCAGCGTTACAAACATATGTGGAAAGAACATCAACGCTACGAGAAAGTGGAAGAAATTCCACACACCTATTTTTGACATACAATAAGCCACATCACGAAGCGACATCACAATCTATAAGCCGTTGGATCAAGGAAATGATGGAGGAAGGCGGTATTGATACCAATGAATTTAAGGGATATAGTAGGCGGCACGCCTCTACGTCTGCAGCAGCCCGCAGAGGCACAAGTATAGAGGTCATCAGAAAGACAGCAGGATGGACTGAAAAATCTAGTGTCTTTGCACGATTTTACAATCGTCCAGTCATTCAAGAGAACAACTTTGCAGCAAATATCATTCAAGGAAATGGCTAAAAATAAAATTTTTTTCTTTCTTTTCTTCAACTTATATTTAAAATAACGTAAAAGAATATTTACTAATTTCATTATTAATTAAGCAAAATATAAAAATAATTGTTCAGTTTTCACTAGTTAAAAATAAAAATAAAATAAAAAAAAAAAAAATCGCAACAAACTTTAAACAACTACATAATATGATATAGAGGACGAGACAGCGAAGTACAATTAAACGATTGAACGAACTTACCTTAAGTGAAGTTCAATCGCAATTGTGCTAGCTGTCTCGTCCGAATATATCACACCCAACCCGAAAAAGAATTTTTATCTTCCCTACCCACAGATAAGAACGTTGCGATTTTCAAAATATTAAAAACACACTTTAAAATATAATGGCGATTTGGGGACACAGCAGAGAGGGGTGGAAAGGCACAGAGCGCCATCTAAGACTGAAGGCGGCAAAAAATGGGTTATTTTAAAAAATCTTTGAAATAACTGTGCTGGAACGGTCAGTAAACACATTACTACATAATATGATATATTCGGACGAGACAGCTAGCACAATTGCGATTGAACTTCACTTAAGGTAAGTTCGTTCAATCGTTTAATTATTTTAAAAAATTTAAATTTAAAATCAATTAAAATTCAATTATTTCCCAAAATTTTAATTCAAAATTAATTAAAATTTAATTATTTTACAAATTTTCAATTCAAAATCAAATAAAATTCAATTATTTTAAAAAATTCAATTATTATACAAAATTTCAATTGAAATTCAATTATTTTCCAAAATTTGAATTTAAAAGCATCCAAAATTTAATTATTTCTTAAATTTTTCATCGAAATTTTTTTTTTTTTTGAAATTTAATAATTTCAGTTATAACTCTAAGGAAATTCAATTATTTTTAACTATTTTAATAATATTCTTTGAAAATTCAACTATCTGAAACCATTTTTCAATTAAAAATGATTTTCAAATTATTGTATTTTGTCCGCATTTTCTTATAAATTTTTAGTGAAATCATCTAAAATTTTAAATGCAAAACACTTAAAGTTTCAATTAATTTCAAAAATCTCAATTTTAAATCTTTGAAAATTCAATTAAATTTAAAAAATGTTTTCCAAAAATTGTTTGATAAATTATGTTTAGTTCTGTAAAATTTAATAATTGTTTGAAAATTAACAATGTCTTTTGAAATTTAATTATTTCTAAAAATTTGAACTTTAACTTTATCTGTAAAATATTTTTGTTAAAATAAAAAACAAATCCACTTTTTTTGGAATATAAATCGACTAAAACGACTTTTTTGTGTCTTTAAGTTGATTCGATGCCTGTGTTTTTATAATTAATATTTAATAGGTATTCGTTGGCCCCTGGTACCTTAAAAATAAATTTATAAAAATAAATTTTGTTCAAATTACTATCTTGTACGAAATTTCCTGGGGCATCTTTTTTCTCATCATAAATTTTTTGTATTTGTATATAATTTTTGAATCAATATACAACTTTAAAAAAATTTTCGTTGATAAACGTTGTATACTTTAGCTTCGTGAATTGAATTTTCGAATTTGGAATTTAAAAAAAACTTATTCCGAAATTTGGAAACACAATTATACAACTTTGGCAAAAATGAGAAAAAGAATTGTCAAAATTTGACACGTCATAAGATTACTATTCAAAAAAACATGTGAAATCAGAAAAGGCCAACTTCAAGTTAGGACAGAAAGACAGACCAAGCATTTTATTATTATATAATTTTAATTCAATTTTTCAAAAATTTAAACTTTTTTATTAAAAATTCTTTAAAATTCATTTACTGTTTTAAATTTTGTTGATAATTTTCAGCAATTCAAATTTACAATTTTAATTAATAAATAAATTTTTTTCAATAATATTTTAATCAAGTTCATTGAAAATTTAATTATTTAAAACATTTGCCAATATTATGAATTCGAATAATTTGTACAATGACTTGGAATTTTTTCTTCTTTTAAAGTAACTTTAAATTATTATTTTTCAAAATTTGTCCTACTGAATTGAAATTTTGAAAATTTGTCATAGATTAATTTTGAAGTTTAAAAAAAAGTTCATGGAAATGTTACTGTGAAACATTCTTATTTTCCTTGATATTTTAAAAAAAGGTAGAACTCAATTCGATTGATAGAATGGAAGATATAGTAGTTTAAAATTTTTTTGTTATTATTGCAAATCTCTTAAACTATCAATTATTTTAAGGTGAAATTTACGTTAAATATTAGTCTAACTATATGTAACAAAAATTCCAAAGTTTCGTTGCAATCGGTTTACCTACTCCGAAAAAGTTGAAAATCTCATGTGGAATCGCACATTTAAATGTATTTTTTAATAACTTATACACAATTTACATTATATAAATTGTTTAACATTAAAGAGATTGATAAAACAAAAATTTAATGTTATGTACAAATTTAATCTTAATTTATTTGTATACTTCAATTTTGTATAATTTTACAAATTTAGGGATCGACATCATAGAAGGCGGTCTAGATCTAGATCTAAATCTCGTTCCAATTCTCCAGAAAAAAAGCGGAGGCGTTCAAGGAGTAGAGATCGAGAAAAAGGACGACATAGAGATAGGAAAAGTCGTTCTAAAGATCGTGATAGAGATAGAAGTGACAGAAGAGATCGACATGAAAGAGACAAAAAAGGGTGAGATTTATATTATTTACAATAAATCTAGTAACAGCAGTTAAAACTAGAAAATTCTTAAAATTTATCACGTGCCAGAAGTTAGCAACGCCATTTCGTTTTTTTGAAAAAACAATTTTTGTGCTAATTTGTGCCGCAAAAAGTTTTTTGAACGTAAATTTATCAGGACAATGAAATTTTAATATTAAGATCAAAATGTTTATGATTGTTATGAGTTACAGTGGGGATAATAAAGAAAAGCGAACTAGCAGTTCAAAATCTTCTCGCTTGGGGAAAGAACGATCCAACAGATCTCGCTCCCGTGAACGCAAGGATAAAGAAAAATGGGATAACGAGGAGTTACCATTTGATCCATTAAATCTTGATAAGGTAATTATAAATCTTTTTAAATAACAAAGTTTTTTTCCAGCAATTTTTTTTATAAAATGTTTCTTTCAAGAAAAAAAAATTTTATTTACTCTGCTCAAAATATTAAAAATATTGTACTTGCATAATATATTAAAATTTTTTAAAATTGTTGTTCAAAAAAGGAAGAAGAACAAAAGAGATTAGAGCTGGAGATGCAAAAAAGACGTGAGCGAATAGAAAGATGGCGTGCAGATCGAAAGAAGAAGGAACAAGAGGCAACAAGAAAAGATGGAAAATCTTCTATTTTAGCTAATATACAAATACCTTCTAAGAAATGGTCTTTAGAAGATGATAGCGATGAGGACACTCCAGTCACTCAGGGTATTAACAATAAAGAGATCAAAGAAGGTGATGGCGAATCGAAAGAAGATTCAGCATTAGTAACAGAGGAAAATAAAACAGAGGAAGTAGATCCACTTGATGCTTTTATGGCAGAGGTAATAGTACTTAAAGTACTATTCTATATTTAAGCAAATAATAATTGTGGCAAATTTAGTATATTTTTAAAATATTCGATATAATGATTTATATTTTTAGCATTTATTTTTTTTTAAACGTTTCATTTTATTTCGAAGGTACAAGAGGAAGTAAGAAAAGTTAATAAATTGGATAATAAAAATCCTAAGGCCGCTAACAATGGTACAAATACTGGAGTTACTCAAACTACTGGCGTAATGATTGTTACTGGAGTAGCTAAGAGAAAAGTTCAAAAACATAAGGGCGAATTAATAGAGCAAAATCAAGATGGATTGGAATATTCGAGTGAAGAAGAAGGAGAAAATCTTCACGAAACAGCTGCTGGTATTGCGAATAAACAAAAAAGAGAGCTAGCTAAAGTTGATCACGCAACAACAGAATATCTAACCTTCAGAAAATCATTTTATGTTGAAGTACCTGAAATTGGTAAGAATCTGAACTTTTTTTTATAGTAACCGGCTTTTTATAGAAGTAAATAAATTTATTATATGTATAAGGAGGAGGATTAAAATTACAATGTTAATTTTCTGATTGTTCTGGAATAAATCATTAATATATTTAATATATAATTTTACAATGTAAAACGTAAAAAATTGTTAACGAGTTTTTAATATATATATTTATATTTTTTAATTTTATTCTTGCAGCAAAAATGACATCAGAAGAAGTTGAAGCATATAAAGAAGAATTAGAGGGAATACGTGTAAAAGGAAAAGGTTGTCCAAAACCAATTAAATCTTGGGCTCAGTGTGGTGTAACGAAAAAGGAATTAGAAGTATTGAAACGATTGGGATATGAAAAACCAACGCCAATTCAGTGTCAGGCTATTCCTGCAATTATGTTTGGACGTGATTTAATTGGAATTGCAAAAACAGGAAGTGGAAAAACATTAGCATTTTTGTTGCCAATGTTTAGACATATTCTCGATCAACCAGCATTAACTGAGGGAGATGGACCAATTGCATTAATTATGACACCAACGCGTGAACTTTGCATGCAAATAGGAAAAGATTCAAAAAAATTTTCAAAATCATTAGGACTCTCTCATGTTTGTGTATATGGTGGTACTGGTATATCAGAGCAAATTGCTGAATTGAAAAGAGGCGCAGAAATAATTGTCTGTACACCTGGTAGAATGATTGACATGTTAGCAGCAAACAATGGAAGAGTAACAAATTTACGAAGAGTAACTTACGTCGTTTTAGATGAGGCTGACCGAATGTTTGATATGGGATTTGAACCACAGGTAAATTTTGTACACATTTTTTTTTACTATTTTCAACTTTTTTCATAGTTTACTATTATTTGGATACTTTTTTCAGCCTTATGCTACTAAAAATTATTTTTTTTTTAAGAATTTTTGAAAAAAAAAATTTATAACATATTTTTTAAATTTAATTCCAGAATTTTATTTCCAATTTTATTTATATTTAAATATTGTAAGATTGAAAAACGTACTAATACACGGACATGCTGATTAATAGGTTTTATTGTTAAATTCAAGAATAATATGAGAATTACAAAGATAACTCTTCTCGTCAAACTATGTGAACGAACTGAACTAACTAACTTAACTAATGGCGCCACCGCTGTGTCGGTGTATGGCCCACGTACATGCGCACTGAATATATTTTTAAACTACTACTTGAAACACAGAAAATGAACAATATCAAATTAAATAATCAAATGTTATTAATATTTCACAATATGGTTTCATTTTAATTAAAATAAAATTTTATTTAAATTTATTTAATTTAATAATTTTGATTTATACAACTACAATAAGTTTCTAATAATAATTGGATTGTTAACGGTAACAACAATAAAAATCCAAGAAAAAACATATCGAAAAAGTGATGATAAGAAAAACATACCCCACAGCACCGAAACTTTTCTAAAGATTTCCTTAAGATTTTTTTGAAATGTTCGGAATATTTAATTGCAATGTTTAGTGAAAATTGTGTAAAGATTTAAATGTCCCAATTAAATAAATGTTTAGCGTGAAACTTTCCTGAACATTTGAATGAAATTTTCGCATAATTATAATTAAGTAAAAATTTTAAAATATAAATATTAAATTTTTATAAATAAATATTTTTGATAAAGTCAATGTTCGATGATTTTTTATAATCTTTGAAATTACAAAAAAATGTTCTTTGCTAAATATTTTTTTGTATTTTCTATAAATATTTCATTGCAAATGGAAAATTTAAATTTATGTTTTTTTCAAAAAATTTAATTAATTGATAATTAATAAAAATTAATTATGTAATCAAAAAGAAAATTAAATTAACTGAAAATTATTAATTATATTTTAAAAAGTATTAAGCAATTAAAAGTTATTAAAAAATTTTTTTTTAAAATCGCTATTTTTCACAAATTACGTAAGTTTCTTCCTTTAAAAGGTAATAATTCCGGGTTTATTTTTTTTAAATTGTTATTTACGTTCCCAGGATTAATTTTTTGCAGCAGAAAAAAATTTAGATAAGCTTTAAACGCATGAAACTGACTGTCCCCATTTACCCCAAAATTTAGAAAATTTCATAAAATTTGGGGTAAATGGGAACAGCATAGTTTCTACGAAAGATTTAAGACAAAAGTTTCCTTAAGTATATTACTGAATTAGGGGTTGAAAAAACGAAACAAAATTGTAGTTGATATATAATAGTTAAACCAATTGAAATTTTTTTATTTTTTTTTCATTTCAGTATTTTGTCTCGCATTTGAAAAAAACAGACTTAAAAATCATACCAAATTTTTTTCATATTCCTTATGACTCCCATAACAGAAATTCACTTGAATTTTTGTTTTTTGTTAATTTGGTTAATAATGACAAGCTGTCCCCATTTACCCCAAAAATTTGAAAATTCAGGGTAAATGGGGACAGCTTGCCATTATTAACCAAATTGATAAAAATCAAAAATTCAAGTGAATTTCTGTTATGGGAGTCATAAGGAATAAGAAAAAAATTTGGTATGATTTTTAAGTCTGTTTTCTTTGAAATGCGAGACAAAATACTGAAACAGTTTGACTTTGATTTTCAAGTTTTTATGCATTGAGCATAAATAAATATAAACAAAAATTTTATTTTAAAGATTAATAATTAAAAAACATTTTATGTAATTGAATTTTTGAAAAACTTGATTAAAGTTATTAGAAATAATTAATTCAATAAGAAATTGAAGTTAAAATTTTTTAGAAATTATTGAGTTTTAGAACAGGAATAGTTAAAAATTTTTTGAACTAATTGAATTTCAGAATATTTTTAATTAAAATTTTAGTACATATTTTATAAGCTTTAAACTATAATTAAACTTTGAAGAATTTTGAATTGGAAAATGTTTTAAATAATTGATTTTTCGAAAAAATGATTAAAATTATTAATCCTTTGTCTATAAACGTTTTATCGGCACCTTCCGTCTATAAACGTGGGTTATTAACTTTCCATTGTGTTTTTAATGTGTTAATGTGCTGAAAAAAATTCATGGTATTTTTTACAACCCTCAACTTCTTATATTAATCATAAAAATGCTAAAAGAAATTTATTGTTGCATTTATTTTTTATAAATATATGGAGAAAATGAAAACTAAAACAGTTTTTGACAATAATGTACTAAATTCTCTAAAATCATTTCGGAAGGTAAATAAAAAAATGATAATCAATTTATAAATATGAAAGAACTATCAAGCGCTAATAATTTCGCATGGAGACTTTCGGAATTGGTAATATGACAAGTAATACAGTTGAGAGAAGAAAAATAATTAATGAACAATAAAATCACTTACTTTTATATTTATTTATAACTGATGAATATAGTTGAAAACTCGTTTAAATCAGAACCTTGATATAAATTTAAATAATATCTTGAACTGGAACTTGAAAATAAAACTTGGAAAAACTTGATTATCTTGAAAAGAATTTGAATAACTGTAGTAAAAATTATATTTTGAATAACTTTGAATTAGAAGAAAGAACTTGGAATTAGAACTGGAATAAGAACTTGAAAAGAATTGGAAGTAGAACTGAGAATTAAAAGCTGACTTTTTGATTAGAGTCTAGTTTTTATATTGGTATCCCTTTTTAAAATTTAATCATTGTTTTGGTAAAATAGATGTTTTACAACCTTCATTGGATTAACTTTCACTGTGTATTAAACTTATATTCTCAAAAATGAAAAATAATTTGTTTACTTAACTTTTATAAATGATTTATTTTATTCTTTTGTTCACAAAATATTAATGATTTTAGGTGATGCGAATAATGGAAAATGTCCGACCAGATCGACAAACTGTTTTGTTTAGTGCTACTTTTCCTCGACAAATGGAAGCATTAGCTAGAAAAATACTTACTCGACCAGTTGAAGTACAAGTTGGAGGGCGTTCTGTTGTTTGTAAGGATGTCGAACAACACGTCATTGTTCTTGAAGAAGATCAAAAATTTTACAAACTTCTTGAAATACTTGGACACTATCATCAAAAAGGATCTATTATTATTTTTGTCGACAAACAAGAAAATGCTGATACATTATTGAAAGATTTAATGAAAGCATCTTACTCATGTATGTCTTTACATGGTGGAATCGATCAATGCGATAGAGACTCAACAATATTAGATTTCAAAGCTGGACGTACAAAATTATTGGTGGCTACGTCTGTCGCGGCTAGGGGATTGGATGTAAAATGTCTTGTTCTTGTTGTCAATTATGATTGTCCAAATCACTATGAAGACTATGTTCATCGATGTGGACGAACAGGCAGAGCTGGAAATAAAGGGTAATTGTAATTTAAATAAATTTTGCCATTATTTTCTTTATTTTAATTTAGTTTTTCTATTTTAGTTATGCTTACACGTTTATTACATCAGAACAAGAGAGATATGCTGGAGATATTTTACGAGCTCATGAATTAGCCATGGTTCCTGTACCTGAATCATTACGAAAACTTTGGGAAGACTATAAAGCTCGTCAAGTAGCAGACGGTAAAAAAGTTCATACTGGTGGAGGTTTTAGTGGGAAAGGATTTAAATTTGATGAATCCGAAGCTGCGTTAGCTAATGAGAAAAAGAAATTTCAAAAAGCAGCTTTGGGATTACAAGACTCTGATGATGAAGATATTGAAAATGACATTGATCAACAAATTGAAAGTATGTTGGCACCTAAAAGAACTGTACGTGAAATATCAAGACCCTCGGTTCCCAATATTTCTGTACCTGGACAACCTGTGCCAAGTGCAACTGACAAATTAGAGTTGGCCAAGAAGCTTGCATCAAAAATAAATATAGCTAAAAATTTGGGAGCTGAAGCAAAAGGTGTTTCACAGCAGGCTGCAGAAGCAATTCTGAAAGGAGCAGGACCTACCAATCTTATTACGGTAAGTTTAAAATTTTTTAACAACATATTTCGGTTCAAAAAATAATTCTTAAAAAATACTTATGTGACAAATTTCTTCTTTTTTATAGGCAAAAACAGTCGCCGAACAATTAGCCGCAAAGTTGAATACAAAACTTAATTATCAACCAAGAGAAGAAGATTTAGTTGAAGGCGAATGTGAAGGTGGTGAGCAAACCTTCCGAAAATATGAGGAAGAACTTGAAATCAATGATTTCCCACAGCAAGCCCGATGGCGGGTGACTAGCAAAGAAGCATTAGCACAAATATCAGAATATTCAGAAGCTGGACTTACAGTTAGAGGTACTTATATTGTACCTGGTAAAGCACCACCCGAAGGAGAAAGAAAATTATATCTTGCAATTGAATCAACGAGTGAGTTAGCTGTAAGCAAAGCGAAAGCTGAAGTATCACGGTTAATTAAAGAAGAATTAATGAAATTACAAACATCTGGAGCACATAATGTTTCGCGTGGTCGTTACAAAGTTTTGTAAACCAACTTTAGAACAGTTATATCACATATGTCAAGACATAATATTGAATTTTAAAGATAAGCATTTTTTTGAATAAAGTATTATTTAAAAAATTATATTTTATTAATTGAGATGTCTAGATACCACAATAATTCAAAGTACATTACCCATTTAATCATTATAATTATTATATAATAATAAAATGCTTAGTCTGTCCTTCTGTCCTAACTTGAAGTTGGTCTTTTCTGATTTCACGTGTTTTTTGAATTGTAATTTTATGACGTGTCAAATTTTGACAATTATTTTTCTCGTTTTTGCCAAAGTTGTATAATTGTGTTTCCAAATTTCGGAATTAGTTTCTTTAAAATTCCAAATTCAAATTCAAAAATTCAATTCACGAAGCTGAAGTACACAATGTTTATCAACAAAATTTTTGTTTAAAGTTATATATTGACCCTAAATTACATATATTTATTGTAGGCGGAATATTTAAAGCATTATTCAGATAAATATTCCGCCTATGTTAAATATGAGCCGCCGGATATTATAATTAAAATTTCTACAGCGGTATTCGTTGGCCCCTGGTACCTTAAAGTTCAATTTTTAAAAATAAATTTTTTCAAATTACTATATCTCTTGTAGGAAATTTTCTGGCGCATCTTTATTCTCATCATAAATTTTTTTGTAATTGTAACAGTTTTTGAGAAAAAAGCAAAAATCTAAATTTTTCATTAAATCACTTTTAATGAAAATTTTTACTTTAATTCGTTTTAAAATGAAAAGTTCTGAATATTTTTGCATACAATTTACAGGAGTTATAGTTTAAACCATCCTTTAAATGATCCTTAATAATAATTCTTCATTTTTTAATTAGAAAAAAAGTTATTAATTTTTTTGTTGCTCAGTGTTAGAATAGGGATTTATATTTTTCAAACGCTTCGTTTATGTAGGGAATTTTCCTTGAAGACAAAATTCCTCTGAATAAAATGTTTATTGATACACAATAAAGATTGCTGTAAAGTTTTATTTTAATACACTTTTTTTTATTATCAATGAACATTTTATTCAGAGGAAGTTTATCCTCAGAGAAAATTCCCTAGATAAATGAAGCTTTTGAATAATATTAAGCCTTTCAGCACTGAGCAACAAAAAAATTAATAATTTTTTTTAAATTAAAAATGAATTATTATTAAGGATCATTCTAAGGAATTTGTAACAACATATCTTTTTTAAAAAAATACTATTGATGACTATTTTTTTCTTATACTTATTCTTGCGTTTACGTTTATGATTGCGTTTTCTTTTAAGAATTTTTAGTGCGTTTGTCTTTACTGTAGAGTACCATTAACCAAATAAATTTTGTCGGGATTTAATAATGCTTTAATGTTTTTTCAATATTGTTTTATTCTTGTAAATTAAAATCCAAAAAGCCCATTAAATTTTTTTTTAATATCGCTGCCATTTTCCGCCGATTGTCCAAATTTTTTTTTGGTCTTAAATTCAGTCACTTCTGATGACCAAATTGCATATAATAGGCTTAAAACAAAAATAAAGAAGAAGGCAGCATTTCATTGTTTCTTTTAAAGTTAATGCGGAGAATCTCGAATCGAACATCAGCAAAAGCATATTTTCGTGTAACTTTTATCGATAATTGTAAATGTGAAATTTATTTTACCGGAAAAAATTATATGACAAATATATCAATGTAAAAGTTAACAAAGAAATGTTTACTGATTCTACGAGAGTATCATATTAGGAATTTTAGGCAGGAGGGGGTCTCCCGTTCATAGAGAATTTCCCTTATATTAGAAATTTCGTAATTTATTTACGTTTTCATTAAAGTTTAATAAATAATAATATTCACAATATGTAATATAGATATTCTTTTTCTTAAAATAAAAAACTGAATCAAAACTCATTTCCAACTAAACGCCTGAACATCTATGCTTATTTAGGTCTTTTAAACTGTACTTGCACTTATTTCAATTCTTTCACTTTGTTACGTCCGACAACGCAACATAGTTAATTAATTTTAATTTATTTTTGAGTCTAGACGCATTGTCCGCAACTCAGGAATCATTCAAATTGCTTTGTTTTATTTGAAGGAGAATTTAAAAGGATTGAAAAGATAATAATGCACTAAATACACCGAAATCTTTTCGGAAGATGTTTAATAAAAAAAATAACGATCAAATCTTTTTTTAAGGATTGAAGGAACTCAAATGCGCAACTTAATCGCACCACGTCCTTCGCAATTAGAAGTATGACAAAAAAATAGATGAGAGGAGAAAAGTAATTTAGTATATAATAAAAGTACTTACTTTTTTCTTTTTTATTTATAATTGTTGAATCTCGTTGAAAACTCGTTTAAATTGGAATTTTGGGTATTGGCTTCGTATGATGATTAAGAACTTGACTCGTAATTGAACTGAGAATTGAACTGACTGCTGGGAATTGAGAATTAAGAATTGACTGCTGAGAATTAAGATTTGACTGAACTTGAACTGATTGAATTTAGAACTGAGAATTGAGAAATTTGACTGAACTTGAACTGATTGAACTTAGAACTGAGAATTTGGACTTTTTTTAAATTCAAATCTTCAGTTTTTATATTATTATCCCTACTTAAATTTTTTAGTTGGGTGGAAATTTGGGGATGAATATTTTATAGAGTGGGAAGTTAAAAAGATCAGTGATTGGATTTTTTTATGAAACAAAATAGAAGAACTTATCTAAAAAAAAGATGTCATTGGACCTTTCAGGCCCAGCCTTGCAAGGGATGACTTTGCGTGGGCGTATCTTTAAGATTAGGGTGTTTCGAAAAAGTGGGGAACTATAGTTTACACTATTTTTAAAAGATGGAGCCAAGATTCACTTTTAAAACGAATTTTCAAAATTACAAAAATTCTTTAAATTATTTATGAAATACATGATTTTATGATTATTTAATTACATAATATTGAAAATTTACGCATTCAATTACACACACATACTTTTTATACATATATATGGGACGTTCTTTGTCAACCGGACCACCCCATCTCTCCATAATTGGTTTAATTTAAAAAAATTTTATCATATTGGAAAAATTAGCTTGGAATGTCTACTTTTTAATCCCGTTGGGCGCTTTTTGAAATTCAAAATGGCGACTTAAATATGGCGCCTAAACGACATAAAAAACACAAAAAATCCACTAATATGATCTATATTATTGTTTAAAGCTTCACATATGACGATAAAAATAACCACAACATAGTTTACTTACAAACTGATAACGTATCTCCATTCAAAATTAAAAAATTCAAAATGGCGGATTAAATATGGCGGATAAAATTAAAAATTGAGCTAGACTCGTGAAAATTACTACTTGGGGATTTTCGAGGTCGCTGATTACGAATCCGGTGTTAGTTTTCAAAAATTCAAAATGGCGGATCCAATATGGCGGACAAAAATTGAACAAATGGAGCTAATTTCGTAAAAATGTCTACATAGGGGTTTTTTTGGTCGCTGATTACAAATCCGATGTCAGTTTTAAAAAAATTTTAAATGGTTGATGACAAATCTCTATTTAAAATTCAAAATGGCGGATAGAATTAAAAAATTAAGCTAGTCTTGTAATTATTAATTAAATAATCCTCACATAATTTCCATAAAAAGTTATCTGGCGTTGTATTTGATAAGTTCAAATGGCACCTTTTTACGTTCAATATAAAAAAGTTAGATCAATTTTTTATATTTTGGTCCACCATTTTATATTCACAATTTGATTTTTTAAAAAGTAACGATGAATTCGTAAAGATTGTCCTGAAAAACCCTTAGGTAGACATTTTAACGAGTTTAGCTCAATTTTTTGGATTTGTGGTCAGCCATTTAGAATTTTTAAAAAGTAACCGCAGATTCGTAATCAGTGACCCCGAAAACACCCGAGTAAACAATTTCACGAGTTTAACTTAATTATTTAAATTTTGGGCTACTATTTTAAGTCTGCCATTTTAAATTTTTTAAATCTAACAACGGATTTGTAATCAGCGACCCCAAAAAACCCCGAGTAACAAGTTTCAGGCGAATCTAAAGGATTTTTTAATTTTTGTCCATCATATTGGATCCGCCATTTTGAATTTTTGGAAATTAATACCGGATTCGTAATCAGCGACCCCAAAAACCCCCGTGTAACAAGTTTCAATCAAATCTACAGGATTTTTCAATTTTTTGTCCGTCATATTGAATCCGCCATTTTGAATTTTTGAAAACTAACACCGGATTCGTAATCAGCGACCTCGAAAACCCCCAAGTAGTAATTTTCACGAGTCTAGCTCAATTTTTAATTTTATCCGCCATATTTAATCCGCCATTTTGAATTTCTGAATTTTGAATGGAGATACGTTATCAGTTTGTAAGTAAACTATGTTGTGGTTATTTTTATCGTCATATGTGAAGCTTTAAACAATAATATAGATCATATTAGTGGATTTTTTGTGTTTTTTATGTCGTTTAGGCGCCATATTTAAGTCGCCATTTTGAATTTCAAAAAGCGCCCAACGGGATTAAAAAGTAGACATTCCAAGCTAATTTTTCCAATATGATAAAATTTTTTTAAATTAAACCAATTATGGAGAGATGGGGTGGTCCGGTTGACAAAGAACGTCCCATATATATATAAAAATTAAAGTAAAATTAATTATATATAATTAAATGACAATAGTTAAAAAACTTTTTATTACATATAAAATTTCTGTTACTTATAGTCTAAATGATTAATTATTTTCATAATAATGTTTAAAATTTCAATATTAATCTAAATTGTTAATTAAGATTTAATTAATTTCATTTTTTTTAGAAATTTTAATATATAATTAAAAATAATAAATTAATTTTAAATTCCAAACATTAATATTAAAATTTAACTAAAAATTAAAGAAATATTTTGAAGAATTATTTAAAATTATTTAGGATTCACTAATTCGACGTGTGAGATACTATTTAAAAAAATAGAAATAAAACAGACTTTGTAACCTAATATTTTTTTTATAGTTTTATGACTAACAGATGTAATTTTTGATGGTAAAAACTCTTGGACTTTCGTGGGAAAGTGATAAGATAGGAAAAAGACCCCAGCAGTCAACAGCTGGAAGGATGCACTTTAGAGTTTCTAAAAGATTTAATGGCTGTATTCTTATCTATATTGAATTTTCCAAATTTCAAAGTGCATCCCACAAGTGTAGACTACTGAAAGTACTTTGTCTCGTTATCGGTTCTAAAAGAAAGACAAACAATTTACACTAAAGATATGAGACGTAGTTTAGATAAAACAGATGTTTTCCCATGTAGAATTGATACAAAATTTACAAAAAATTAAAAGGAAAAAGAACATAAAATTTAATAAAATAACGCAGGACGTTACAACTTGTAGGCGTTAAGTAGAACTGAAAATTTTTTTTATTGAAAGTAGCGATTAATAATTTCTATCTAAACCACAAATTTTTTTAATATGCACTAAATATAACAATATTTACAGTTTTAAATGGACAAATAGGAAAGAATTATTTTAAAAAAAGTATTATTTTTCTTCATTAAAAAATCCTACTTTAAAACCTCCAATATGGTACTTAATTCCAAATTTTTCATTTGAAGATGTCAAGTAGGAAGTAGAGTAGATTGAAGTTGATTTCAGCAGTTTTAAAATAGATTATTAAAAGACTTGTATAAATTTCTATTCGGAAAATTATATAAAAGTTAATAATTAATTCTTGACATAAACTTATTTTAAATCAATAAATTTTTGATCTTTGTTAATTAATTAATGAATTCAATTAAGCAAAAACTTTTAATGAATTAGTTTAAATTTCTCCAATTTGAAAATAAGATGTGAAAAAAAAAAAATAAAAAAAAAATAAATGTGAAAATAATTACATTGACTAGTCATTCTGTTAAAACTAAATAATTTATTGTATAATTGTTACGAAATGCAGCATTCATTAAAATATAAATTAAAAATTATTTCGAAATTTCTAGTTAAATACATTTTTTTCTTTTAAAGGAATTAAGGACAATCCCATGTTTTTTCTTCCGTTTCTTCAAATGTATTAGCTGTCCGTGGTTGCCAAAGCCCGCTTCTAATAAATCGTTGAGCAGTTTCTTTGTTTAATCGAATTTTACTCTTCTTATTGTTGATTTCTTTTGCACGAAACATCGCTTTTTTTAAACGATCATTTTCTGACATTATCCTTTGTCTTTTAGGGTTAATACCTGAAAAATATATTTAAACTTTATTAAAAATATATAGTTTTGAAGAGGACAAAGATCAAAAAATTATTATTTACATACTAACCTTCTAGTCGCAAATGCATCCAAATTAGACTGTTAAGACTGAAGGACATTAATAAATTATATTTGATTTTATCATTTTTGGATAGTTCATTATAAATTTCTGGATCATTCACAGATTTTAGAATATCCTCAATGTGATTCACAGAATTATTTATTCGTTCTAACTGATCTATGATTCCTTGATCCTTATTAAGGTCCTCGAAATTTATATCCATTTTCATATCAGGAAAAATTGTTATATCTTGAATCTGTAAATAATACATATCTAATCTTACAAATCGAATTTTTGTTTTAATTTGATCGTTTGAAATTATATTTTTAAGTGTAAAATATTTTTAAACGGCAAAATAAAGAAATGTAAGTAGTTATACAGAGACCATTGTAAATACAGATCTCTGCACCGACACTAAAAAAATGTGGTTCTAATCCGTGCTCAATGAAAAAAATTTGCATCAATGAATAATTGAACCCTAATTTGGCAAACCAAAAAAAGAAGCTTTTTGTTAAAATCGTTCTTTCATTAATTTTATAGAGGCTTAATAATTTAGTTTTTGCATTTTATTTATATTCCGACTAGTTTTGAACAAAAAAAGATTTTTAATAAAAATTATTATAATTAAACTAGCAAAATTACACGCGCGCAAGCGCGCGTCCAACTTTGACTACAATGGTTGTTTTAAAATAATAATAATATTAATAATAATAATAATTCTACATCAGTGGAGTAATAAATTAATAATAGGTATATTTCTAATTTTCACGTTATCATTTATTTATACACAGAAAAAAATGAGTTTGATGTTATATAAATAGTGATTTTTTAGTTAAGCCAGCTCATAATTAGTTAATACAGCAAAAATAATTTAGCTAAGTTAATTTTTAAATTTAATAAACTTGTAAAACTATTAGTTCGATTGTTGACGGTAACAACAATGAAAACCCAAGAAAAAACCTATCGAAAAAGTGATGATAAGAAAAACATAAATTAAAATCAATAGTTACAATTGGCGGTGTAAATGTTGATAAATCAATTCTACTATCGCCAACATAACCGCTGCCACTTAAAATGCCGAGAAAAATTAATTATGTTGTGTCAATTATTATTAAAATATCCTTTGTTACTTATGTATACTGTATACGAAAAGGAAGAGATTGTTGGGATAAAAGATATTACTGACGAATGGATTTTCTTATTGACAGAATGTATATCATTTTTTTGTGAATTGATATTAAAAAAATAAGATTTTTAAGTTAAAATTTTAAAATATAAATATTAAAGTTTTAGAAATAAATATTTTTGATAAAGTCAATGTTCGATGATTTTTTATAATCTTTGAAATTACAAAAAATTAGTTTTGCTAAATATTTTTTTGTATTTTCTATAAATATTTCGTTGCAAATGAAAATTTTAAATTTATGTTTTTTTTCAAAAAATTTAATTAATTGATAATTAATAAATATTCAAAAATTATGTAATCAAAAAGAAAATTAAATTAACTGAAAATTATTAATTATATTTTAAAAAGTATTAAGCAATTAAAAAATATTTAGAAATTTTGAAAAAATAAAACCTAAAAAATAAAACTTTGTAATGTTTTAAACTTTAAACTTAAATTAAAAATTAAAATCAAATTGAAAATATATTAGAAATGTAAAAATGTAAAAAAAAATTTCTTTATATTGAATCTACCACCCAAGTAGCACGGAATATTGCTTGAATGTCAAGCTGATATCAACCGGGAATATTTTTGTGACATTCAGGCGATATCATAATGTCCTCTTCACGGGGACATTCCTCCGTGATGTATCTATGTGACGGTCTTTCATACAAAAAATGTAACGCGTTACAAAACTTACATTCTACATTTATTAAACCTAAATAATTCTGTGGAACTTTACTTTCATCTAAATCTTTAAAAGACATTATTGCAACTCCTGCACTTTTTTTATTCCGATTATCGTTTTTACATGTCAAATTCTTTTCTTCACACATTCTTTTCATCTTCCGTTGCCGTAGAAAATTTTTTTTGCGCTCTTTCTTTTTTATTTCTGTTTTATTACGATTACGTTTTCTCAATCTCTCATTCCCCTGTCTTATTATTTTCTGCTCATATGTATCTTCGCGCCTTGCCTTCCTTTTTCTTCCCTTCTCTTTAATTGCTCGATTTATCTTTTTATCATTTTCTTTACTCAGAAAATTTTTCATTGTTAAATATTCATGTGGTGAAATTTTGTTCACAGTCTTATAAGTTGTACGAATTATTTTCTTTTCACTAGTGTCATTTAGAGAATGTTTAATTTTTAAATCTTGTGTTAATAGAACTCTGTTAAGATTATTACTGGGAAAAGTATTAAAAACAGAACAATAAGTTAAAATAAAATTTTTATGTTCCTGAGTTCAATTTATGAAAAGACGGTTCTAATCATTCTCTATTATCGAATTCCTATTGTGAGACGTTCTTACTGTCGGAAAATGATTTAAGCGATTATTTTCAAACATTGACTTAAAATGGTTTCTCATTTTGTTATTATCTGTTTCATAATTTACACGGTTTGGCATTACGTTAAATAATATAGATGTTGCAAATGCTATTGCATGTACTCCACACTCAACACTACCAAAAGGTTGTTGATCAACAGCTTCAAAAACTACTGTTGGTTTAAAAGGGAACAATCTAATTAAATATTTTATTTGATGCACATTTAAACACCCCTCATTAAGGCTATCAAAAATATAAAGCCTTACTCTATCGTAATAGACACAAATTCAGTGACCATAATTGTTATTACCGCTAAAAAGTATTTAAATATGTTTATCACCGTCTCTAATTGGGACAATAAAATCAAGCATTTGTACATACAAAGCACTTTGCATATTGAAAAAAGAATTGGAATCTTCTATTCTTAATAAATCTTCAAATTTGTACATATGCATGTAATTTAACAATTTATTTCTATTTTCAATAATTTTTAAATCTTTATCACTTAAAATAACATACTCTTTTATGTTGGCCATAGTATACTTCGTTTAAGTTTATTTTTGATTCATGAAAATCTAAATATCTTTAACCCTTTTGCTCACTCTCTCTAATATAACCAATTTTTACTTTAATTCAATACAACTAATTTTACCTTTTACTAAATATAACCATTTTTTCCTTTAATTCAATATATCCAATTTTTACTTTAATCCAATATAACCAATTTTGCCTTTTACCCAATAAAACTACCAAATATCCAAAAGAATGAGAGAACTATGAGTAACTATGAATACTGATCAGCCAATAAGTGCAAAAAGGACACTCTTATATGAGTAATTATAAATAACATATATACATATTTATACCTGTATTAAAACCCCGGAACAAATACCACAAAAAAACCAACCGTTGGACAATAGAACCTTTGTTAATGAGGATTAACTCTGAGGACCCAGGTAATAATTTCTTTTTTCACATTTATTATATAGAAAAATAAAGATGTACCAACCCTTGGCCAATAGAACCTTTGTTAATGAAGATTAACTCTGAGTACATAATGAAATGTACTGCAGGTTTACATTGACATCGGCACGTCTGACGTCTCGAAATTTTTTCCGCGTATTATCACATGGAAATATAAAGCTAAAAGTCAAAAACTGAAGACGTAATGTATATCTTTCTTTCACACATCAAGGAATATAACATATAAACATTTTCATTTAATATTGCATTTCTCTATCTAGAGGATTCAAAATAACATAAGAATATCTTCGCCTAAAAATCTTACTCTTCATTATTTCTGTTTTCAAAATAAAAAAAATATGTATATACCAGTATTAGACCCTCAGAACAATTACCACAAACAATACCAATTCTTGGACAATAGAGCCTTTGTTAATGAAGATTAATTCTGAGGGGCCAGATAATAATTTTTAAATTTTTTTATTAAAATTTTCTGGGGCTCTAATACAGGTAGGGGAGAGTGATAAACAGTGGGACAGTTTAAACAGTAGGACACTTTAATTTTCTGAAAAACTACTTAAAGAAACACGACCAAAATTTAAATGTAAACCATGTTTATGACAACACACTATCTCCAAAAATTTTAGCCACATTGATTCATTATTTACAAAGAAAATTGAAAAAAACTGTTTTTGACTTTAAAAAAGTAATTTTTTTCTTGAAATACAATGCTGATTTTTATATAAATAGGACAGTTTTAAAAAAAAGTGTAATTGTTACTTCGTTTACTCATGTTTTTAAGTATAATATCCAATAATTTAAAATATTTTAAAATTTTACAAACAATTTTTATTTAAATAATTTCTTGCGATTGCTTAATTTAAACAGTGGGACATTAAACACTAGGACAGGCAAAAATTTAAGTTTATGAAACGTGGATTTTGGCAACACTAATTATAAGTTGTGTCAGCTATACGCATGCGTATTTATACTTACACAGCGACTAAAAATGTGATTTTTTTATACTAAAAAACATTAAAAAATTCAAAATTTATAATTATTACAATTATTGTTCGGCAACATTTGAAAATTACACTTGATAAGAGAACGACTATTCAAATTTTCCTCCAAATTGTTTTTAGGATATGACCAAATTATGACGTATGATCTGTAGTACTGTAAACGTATAAAATATAATAGCAATTTTTCATATGTAACTTGACATCGTATTATAAAAATGTAAAATATTATTAAATTATGAGTGTTTTGCAACATTTGTTAACGTTATTTAATGCAAAACATATATATTTACAAAGTATGAAGCAGAATATTATTATTGAAACAATTATTCATTATTTAATAATAGGTGTCCCACTGTTTAACACAAACCTTCAAAACAAGAAAAATGTATCAAGTTCCTAAAACTTGAAATTTTTCTATTTAATTGCAATATAATTTAAATAGAATATATGCATTATGTAGAAAAGAGTTCAAACTTTATCGTAATACCAAAAAGTATCCAAAAATATATAAAATTGACATATTAATATGTCTTTGAAAAAAAAGTGTCCCACTGTTTGTCACTCTCCCCTATATACATATATACAGATATATGAATATTTTTTTTTATTTTTAAAACAAAAAGGAAGAAGATTAAGATTTTAGACGATGATGTTCTTATGCCATTTTCAACCGTCTAGATAGAGAAACGCAATGTTAAACAAAGAAGTACTTATGTTATATTCCTTGGTGTAAGAAAGAAAGGTATGCGTTACCTATTCAGTTTTATACTTTCTTTATAGCTT